TTGAACTGCGCGAAGATTCATCTTACGTACACAAACTGGGAACTGTCCGCACCTTCGGGAATATTAACGGTACTGTAGGCAACGAGACGTGACTCCACATCTCACGGCTGTAAAAGAATATTACACGTACAAGTTTAGCAATAAACTACAATAATAATTCACGAACGCGCGTAATTTATTGCTAAATTGTTCGCGTGTACACGAATATATTTATTATTTAATCATGACGTATTACTGCGTCTTTTCTCTTTCAGATTTAATAAGCGATGCGGTGATTTAATTCAATGCGATCTCGACGTTTTATGATGCCCGTGTTAATGGCTACTTAACATCTTGTAATCACTTTTAAGATTTCCTCACACCTTACGACACGATCACTTCATGTTTACGACAACTACACGTGATTCTGGCATATTTTATCGTTTTGCAGTATATGCTAGCTGGGAATTCGCTTTTTTCGCATATTTATCAATATGGTATTTGAATAGGAAGTCGCGATAGGTCGATAGGTGAAGAATCTGTTTTCGTGGCAAACAAAACTTGTTTGCTTGAATGCATTAATTATTATATATTAACACTCGGTTTATAAAGTCTATACATCTGTGATATCTTATTAAACAGAATATTTTTGTCTTGATGAACTACTATTCAAGAAATTTTTTTTGAAAATGATGATATAAAAAAATCCTAAAAATAATTTCTGCTCCATTTATGCGTTGAATTGAAGAGCTTTATTATTGCAAATGTAAAAATTTTCTGATTTATTCATCGGTCCATGACAATTATTGCAGAATATAAGTTTAATTACTTTACATAAATACTTTTTATAACGTTATAAAAATATAATCATGCAACTCGATTAATTACTGCTATTGTTAGTCGAGAATGTCAATGTTATCAAATTTTTAGATGGCTTCAAGGGTTCAGTTGTTCGCTAGCTTGTTTTTAACCTTCGATTTCAATGATTTTCTTCGTTACTGAGTCCTCTGTCTACTCATTAGCGGACGGACACTACGCGAAGGTTCTTGAACCGTGGTTAATTGTTGTGGGAATAGTTCTTCGTGGTATTTCCGGGTAAAAAGACACGGAGGTCGTGCATCCTTGTATGACATCGTTCATTCTCACTTCGTTATCGGGCAGAGGATATTAATTCTATTCCCGGACACGTCGTCCGATTGTCATGGATACGAACCGTTATGGTTGTTTTATTACGCGGCGCGTGGGATTCTCCTCCGCGATCAATATCTCCGACATAACGATCGGCGCTTTTATCTCGCTAGAATATCGCCCGCCGACGAAGCGCGGCACAATCTCAGAATGTAACTGTTGTGAATGGAACGACGGAAATTATCTTGCGATAAGCAACTCCAGATTCAAGCATCGGTAATTATCGTCTATGCGACAAGGTCGCTCGACGCAATCGTACCTTGATGATTAGCGTGATTAATTGCGCTGTTCTATTCTAAGACGAACGTGGGCTGAAATTGCAAATAGATATTAAATTAAGGCTATCGCTATTGTATTTCAACAAGATGTTGCATCTCAATCTCAAGAGTTGCATCTACTGCAATAGATACTGGATTTTGGATGTGAGCCAGCTTTCGACAAGCGTGATTTGTCAGACACGCTTATCCGCGTGTTTGCATTAAAGAGAGAGTGTGAGAGGTGATACTTTGCGCCTCTTGCGCAGCGGCTTCAATAAATAAGAAAATGTAGATCGTGTAAATAAATAACGTAGAGTGTTACTTAATCTTGAAGAAATGAATTAAATAAAGTGATGTATGGATAAAAACTTTTCGTAGAGCGTAAAATATTACAAACAGAATAATAAGAGCCGGCGAGATGTCAAGAGACACGATATATAAATATCGAAGGCTATTGAAAATCGATAACGGAGTCGTTAAAAAAACCGAGAATAAAAGTTACGCGTCGGCGACGAAGGTGAATTTCACCTCGATACATATTTCGCCGTCACTCGCGAGTTCGACGATGGCAGTTCTTGCCATCGAAATGATTGTCGAAGTGCATTCCTCGTATATACCTGGCGCAATCGCGAAACGTGGCGCGGTTATAAATACTCGATCCGTGGCTCTAATCTGGGCGGATCAGGAGAGAGAGAGAGAGAGAGACCGATCGCCCTCTCGCACTTCCCTGAAAGGCAAAAAAATGACCTACGGATGCCGAATATGCGTGCGAGGTGCACCACGTGCGTGTGGTGGTCGGCTGGTTGGCGCCGCACGGGCCGATTTATATCGGAGTAACGCGTAATAAACGTGATATTATACACGGCGATACGGCTCGCGCCTGATTACGCCCGGCTCCGCCGCGAAATGAATTATATCCTTCTCGTGTAATCGCACAATGAGGTCCGATCGCGCCATCGACGATCGTGATTGGACGCGATCCCGCGAATGGAACGCAGCAATTATTTAATCGAAGGGTGCGCTCCTCTTCCATCGATCGAACAAGCTCCAAGGAGTATTTACGCACGACGCGACGCACTTATATTGCCTTGTTGCACGAAATATGCGAAGGTCGATATGTCAGTGTGTCGTGCCGAGCATCCGAGAGCTCATCTCGTCGCGTTTCTACGCGAGAAAATCGCCTCGAAGGTAATTTAGTCGTGAAAAGAGGTAGTATCTTTTTTATTTGAATTTGTTTAATAATGAAAAATTCGCGCGCAAAATAATGCTGCGAAACAACGACAAATATATATTTTTTTTAATAAATCAAAGAATTAGGCTCTATATGTATTAAACAACACGATAAGGAACTAGCAAATAAGAGATCACCGCGGATGGTAGTGCGTAAAATTTTTCTTAAATTATTCGCGAAAATTTAAACGCGCACAAGACATATACATATATTTTACTTGGTATTTTACTGCATATACATATATTTTACTTGGCGTTTTACTGCATTTACCAAGATATAGATTCTCATTTTTGAGAATTCTATAAACCCCTCTTTACCCCCCTGAAGAGACGTAGACGAGAAAAATATCGGGGCGGAGTCGCTGAATCGGGAATTTAAATTTTCGCGAATAATTTAAGAAAAATTTTACGCACTGGCTCTTATTTGCTAGTTTCTTATCGTGAGATTTTTTTTATTTGACGATTGAAAAAAATATATCTCCTTGAAATTGACGAAATTGAAATGGTATCTGAAGAGACATTTTAGGTAAAAGCGACGTGTTCGCGTGCGCGATCTTTATCCCTCGGCAGTTAAACAGTTCTCTTTTATTGCACTTCGTGCGACACGAAATGCTCGACACGTTATTTTGGATGCTGCGCCAGCCAGAACCGGTGCCAGGAAAATAGTCATCTACGACTCACGTGAGAGAATCGATCGTTAACTCGTTGCGGCTAGAGAAGTACATGTGTACTTAGGAACAGGGCTAGCTCGTATAGGCGGTATTCTCGAGAACGTGCGCTCTCATATTTTCCTACGTCCCGTTTATTGAAATTGCTTTCCCAGAAGCGGACTAAACTTAGGCGCAAATCGACAGCGTCATCAACGGCACAATTCAATTTCAGCTTATCATAGGCTAGCGGAATAATTGCCCGGAGTATGGAGTATGGTGCAATTTCAAAACGCGCGACTCTGATTATTACACGCATGGCGATTTCAATCCACGGACGAAGGATTTAATATACATAATGTCGGTGATAATCATTGATGATCATTCATCAACGTCGGAGATTATTTCACGCGAAAGGAAAATTTGCAACGATGCATCGTGTCGTTTCGAATGTTTTTTTCACATTTTGCCCGCTGACTGATGAGTATTTAAATGCTTTCTAATAATATCAATTGCTGGAAAACAATCCGCCTCGCGATATTCATTAGTGTCCAGAGAGCGCGCGTTTATAAGACGTTGTATCATCACTCACGCGATGGATATGTGTTGCAAATTGTAATTGCCGATGACGTCATTATTTATGGATCTCGCGTAGAAATACGGCGGAGATTCTCTCGGAGTTAATCTTAAATTAAACGACGAGGATTTTATTTTGGAGGCACATCGTGTGCCGCCTCAAATATTTCCTTCCCACGTTATGTTCCTCCAGAGACAAATGCACCCACCACATGCATACAAATTAAAATTAGACAATTGCATCTAACATTTGCAAAGTTATTTAATATTTTGCAAGTACGAGTACTTGCTGATTATCGCTCTCCAAAATTTCTTTTACAAATATCTTTCACACTAAAAATATTTGTTTTTATATAGTAAATTGAAAAATCGCTGCAAGGTTTATATTTACTACTTAAATTCGAATTATTATTTCGTACAAGAGGCTCGATCCAATCCTTTACAGATCGACATTTATAAGTTTGACTCGTTTGACCACACACATTCAGAAGTTCTATTTATTCAACCTGGTCGGCTGCCGCGTTTTACCTCTCCACTAATCATTTAATCCATATAGCCTGTCTGATTTATTATATCTCTCGTTCATTAAATTTTGAACAAAATTAATAGATATTTTTTTCTAATTTTGCTAAGAGATATCTTAAAAATTTTTATTTAAGAAAAGAATTTCTGCAAATACTAAAACATATAATAAAATTTACATAATATTATTATTCATAAAAATCGATGCATTATTAAAAAGAAATATTAATAATTCTGTTATAATATTTTTTAATATCGTCGCTTAAATAACGTGTTTAAATAAAATTGCGTTTTAATAATTTATTTTTTTTTAATATCTGTAAGTAATTTTTTCTTTTTAAAATCTTTTTCAAATATGTTCATACGTATTTTTAGAATAACATTTTCGATTTCTCAATTTGTTTTCCACGAGATATTTGAGTTTTTCGCGAACAGAGAGAGACATATAAGTTTCAAGCTCATGTCTCTCAATTCTAATCTGATTATACGGATTTCATTTCGCACAAATTGAAGTCAAAGCCAGCAGCTTGCCTTTGTCATCTACTATGCATTCGTGCGGAAGCTACTGTATTTGCGATGGAAATCTGACAATGCAGTTTACCTTTCTCCCCGATTGACCTCTTCTTGATCCTTTCGCCCGTACAGACTTTCCGTTTTGTCTCTTCCGCCTTTCCCCACAGTCTCTTCCGAGATCTCTCTCGCAGCTCAACGGGTGTAATAATTCCGAGTCAAATGGGCCGCGGGGTCGATCGATACTAGGAAACGAGACGCACTCGCGTTTTTCCGCGGAGATTCGATCTCGAGGAGTCGGTTTCTCGCGTGCACGATAACAAGTCGCCCAGATTACGAGATGACATTGGTCAAAGAGAGAGAAAAGGAATGCGCGGGAGAGATCGCGCGGGAAGGGATTCTCCTTCGTTTTCTCTTCCTCTTTTTCACGCACACGTACGCACGCACGCACGTCCGATCGCACGCACGAGCGACCGATCGCGCGCGAGCTTCGAAAAGCAATGCAAGCGCGAGCGACACGCCGGGCTCTCGTTCCTTCCTACGTTCTTCCTCGCACACGACGTTCCCGGCTCGTGCTCCCCTGCCTGTCCCCTCCCTCCCCGTTGCTTTCCCTGTCCGTCCACCTCGTGGTCCGTCTTTCGCTCTCTTTCCCTCTCCACCGAAGCGTACACTCTCGTTCACCATCCTTCGTTTCTCTTTCTCATCGCCTCTCTCTTTCCCTCTTGATCTCTGATGCTTGGATTCTCTATCCTTGTCGTTTCTTCTCCCGGTTACTACATCGACGAGATGCGGCTATCCTCGTTCAATGTTCTTTCCGATGATCTCCTCGTCCCCGTCTTTCTGAAATGTTGACCGTCTCTTTTGAGTCATCCTCGTCTTCCGATCGATGCTTGCTCCAGTTCACTTTAATCCGTTTATCTCGTTATTTAAATGGCATACGGAAGAAGAATATATGATACGATGTTTTCCCTGAAAATTGCTTTGTCAAGTAGAAATAATATTTTTAAAGCTTTTGCTTTAATTAATAATAAAATGTACTCTCCGATTGTGAGTTTAAAAAGTGAGAATTTTTAATGTTTTTTCTCTCACGAAAGACTTTTGTCTATGAGACAATTCTTCTTTCTGTAAATTGTTTCAATTCATGGTATTTAACTCTCTTGAAATATACTTGTTTCGCGTGCATGTTATACCTTGATAAAGCCTTGCCCGGGTCTCTTTTGTATAGTCGTACTCATAATATATTCATACATATTCATACATCTCTCTTTTTCCTCTCTTAAAAACGAGCTCGACAATATAATTCATGAAGGTCGTCTCATTTTTAAAGATGGTCTTAAATCATTTCCAATTTCATGAACGAGGCCTTGCTTGATCAAGCCTTTGGCGCTTAAGATCTGTTCTTAAAAGATGCTATTATGAGACGACCTATCTACCTTACTTAAAGAAGGATTGAGAAAAAGATGGTTTAAGAGAGATGATACCTCGAAGGCCACCTTGAAATTCCACTACAATTATCAGCCCGTTTCAAGACTACTTTATCTAAGCTTGCTCCAAGTCTTGACTACAAATACCATCTATACTCTCGACTCTTCTATCGGTCTAGTCCTCTCTCTCGCTCACGCTCTCTCGTTTTCCGTTCTCACACAGTGAGAACTTTACCTACCGCACTCTACATCCGTTGCCTAGAGTCATGTCTGACGGCTTCGAGATCTCTTCGCTATCTCCTCGCAACAGTCGCCACCCTCGATCACACACCTTCCCGTTTCATCTCGTCGCGTTTGTTCTTCCTCTCTTATTCTTTCTTCATCTATTATTATCTCTGAGACGTTCGCGCATCCCGCGCCATCGATCGCAATTAAAACATTTTCTTTTTGGAGATTTCCAAGAAAGATGTTTGATATAAACTTCATGATATAAATTTCATGATACATCGCGATCACGATAAAATATATTTTTCTTTCGAATCGTTATTTTTATTACAGTGAACTTCTCCCGATTTATTTTTCACAATCGCAGCTGTTGATCGTTTCTTTACGAACGCGAGTACCAGATACGCATTCCCAGCGATACTCAGAAGGCACTTCTCCACACCCACGAATGTACGAACATTTGCACGAACAGATTGAGCACTCTTTCGCGACGTACAATAATCACGGATATCGTCGGAGATTGGGCCCGGATACAGCCGCTCAACTCGACATATAGGGGCAAGATACTAAGCAGCCGCTTCCTCTTTTACATCCCTACCGTTTGTAAACAGATTGTTAACGGTAAAACACTCGTCGTGATCTCCTGGTGATTCCGTTTCCGGTAAAAAACCATTGCACATTCACTGACTAATTTCACGAGATGGATCAAAAAATGAATCACTCGAAAATCATACGAAATATACAATGACGCTGGCGATTTAATACTCAACTGCGAATTCATAATATGTGATTTTTAATATATTTGATCTAAATATTATTTCCCTACAATAATTTTTTTTTCTAAAATAATATTTGATATTCTTTCGATTGTGTATTTCATAAGATCTGTTTCTTTTCCACTGTATGTTATTTACAGTGCCCTTTTGGGGATCAGAGTGACCCGGTCGTCCCTTTTAGGGAATTTAAATAGCTCGTTGTACAGTCAAAAAGAAAAAAACAGTCAGTCGCGTTAGCCAAGTCTCTTAATAAAGTTCATTATTAAAGTACAACTCAAAGCACTGTTTTCATCTACATTTCCTTGGAAAAAACGCAAAAATAAGTAATCTAAAACGTAAAACTTTTGCCACTTGGTAAAAAACGTTTTCATAAATTACGATTCTTACAAGGAGCACGTCGAACAAAGATTTAACAACCAGGCCAACAAAATATATTTAAATTTATAATATTATTTTATAATTTTAGTGAAGAGTATTATGCATATATATTTTATTATAAATATATGATAATATATGATATAAGGAAAAATAAGTAATTTATTAAATATGATAGATATGAAAAATATTAAAATTCATAGACATATCTTTATACTTGACATTTTGACTTTTTATTTTACATAAAATAAAAATTTAACAGGCAATTATGAAAAATGATAATTAATTAGATAAAGCAACGTGAAAAATATCTAGATAGGTTAATAAAGAGAATATGGAGACAAGTAAGGAATATAATAAATATCATATCAATTCGACAAGTGACATATGCACTTAAGCACTTCGTGTTTACGTTCTTCTTTTATCACCAAGAGATTCCATAGTTATCTATAGTAACGGGATATCCCGAGAAGCATTTACATTTTATTTTTTATTAATACGATTAGATGAAATAAAGTGAAGTTTATAATCAACATTATAATGGACGAATAAAAATCGAATTAAAATCTTGTTTGCGTGATCGTGTCAAATATACATAAAAAAAATAACGTGATGTTATTTTAAATATTCTAAACCATGTAAAATATTTGACATATAACATATATGTTCGATTAATATTTGAAATTTCGTCTATATTTTTTAACATATATATTCGCATTGATATACATTGTAATTAGAGATTGCATTGCTAATCAAACGGAGGTAACTACGAGAGATAGAGAAATTAGAGAGAAAGAGAGAGCGAGAGAGAGAGAGAGGGGCTCAGTTGACAGGACATTTGCACGTTAATTGTTCCCTTGCAATTCGTCAAGCAATTACCTATTCCAATTGCAGGTAAGCGCATCTCGATATCCCGTGGTGGTGAAACTGGGCCACGCTCACAGTGGGACCGGCAAAGCCCGTGCGGAAACAAATCAAGAATTTCTAGATCTCGCTTCCCTGGCGGCTATGGCAAACACCTATTGCACAGCGGAACCTTACATCGACACCAAATACGACGTGCACGTGCAAAAAATCGGAAATAATTACAAGGCTTTCATGTAAGTCGCAATAAAGTCGATTAATTAAAAGAATTCGATTTAAAAGCCAACAACTTCCAAAAGAGCAAAATATTTCAAAATAACTTAGCGACGTCATTTTAAAAAAAATCGGAAAAAAATAATCGGAATGACACACTTTTGCCGCTCTGATCCTCGTAGGCGAAAAAGTATAAGCGGCAACTGGAAATCGAATACCGGCTCGGCCATGCTAGAGCAGCTTTCCGTAAGCGAGCGACATCGCACATGGGTCGACCATGTGGCGCAATTATTCGGAGGATTGGATATCTGCGCGATCGAATTACTGGTGGGCAAGGATGGCCGGGAGCACATAATCGAGGTCAACGACAGCGCGCTGTCTTTAATGGGGGACTCCCAGGAAGAGGATCGACGTCACATCGCGGACCTGGTTACCGCGAAAATGCAGGTGCGTGCGAAATTGCGAGCGATTACGTGCTCGTGACTACGATCGCGATCTCTCTCATTACGTGTAAATCATAATTTACGATCTGCCCAGGTTTACTGTCGACCACCGAGCGTGTTGACCAAGACCGCCTCGCGAGGCTCCATGTCAGGTTCTAGCCAGGTGAGCAGTCCAGTGGAAGATCGAACTGCACCGCCAACGGCACCCTTGGGATCTCACGGAAGTTTGGGTTCCATGGCTAGTATAGGAAGCTTAGGTTCCGTCGCTTCCACCGCGCCAATATCGGCTGACGTCACTACCTCGGAAAGTCATCATCAGTTACAGCGACGAGATTCCCAAGGTATACATATTTTTTTTTTTGCGAACGATTGTTCTCCAAAAATAATCATCAAACACGCGACAAAGTTGAAAATAGATACAAATTTAATTAGTTAATTGCAGTCATGATTAATATTAGTGAAATTTGATGAATTAAAAATAAATATCTAAAATTATTCCCATTATTATCTGCCTTTAAAATTATAATAGTATTAAATAAATATTAATTATGTGGGAAAATTTCATATTCTTCATTTTCAAATTATACTAGAAATATTAAAACATTTTTAATTTTGCTGTTAAGTAAAAATTTTGCGTATTAAAATACACAAGAGACTGCACTTCTACATCAATATTGGAGAACAAGATTGGATGGTGTACATATTTGCTCCTATATTTCTCAAATATTGATTCGCTACTCTATCACTCTACATCTTTGAAAGCCGACTGTGTTGAATTTTAATAATTTCTTATTACGAATTATTCTTATTATTTATTATTAATAATTTCCATTCTCAATTTTATTCGCAGCCTCGCAATCGAGCACGGTGAGCAGCGCACCGTCCGTTGGTCGACGTCCCGAGGAGCCGCCGACGTCCAGGATTCCGTTCCACCGACAAGGCAGCCAGTCGCAGACTGGCCAGGGCGAGGACACCGAGGACACCATGAAGAATCTGCGAAAAACCTTCGCCGGCATTTTTGGGGACATGTAGACCACAAGATATGGCCGACGTAGCGAGAGCGTAGACGTCGAGCGCTCTCGCGATGAGGTAGCTAATGGTAACAAGTCGGCAACACTAACACGAACTCACGAATTACTTCGGAGATCCTTGAGCATGTTCGACGATTGAAACTCGACGTGTCAATCGTGCAAGGGTACACGAGCATGTAGATATCTATATATTTGCAGATTGTCGTAGAAAAAAAAAACTCTCGCGCGAAAATTGCATGCCGCGCGAAGTGCACTATTAATCATTCGAATTTAATCGAATATAAAATTGTTAGAAAATTAACGAGCAGGCGGGAAACGAGGTTGGATAATTGCGCCCTTCACGGAAACATCGAGAGATGAGAATTTCCCGCGTTCAACGATTTATTAAGCTAACGCGCTGTCTAACGAGGTAGGTCCTGTATATTGAGAGAATCGTGGTCGTGTGTATGCGTGGATACATTGGAGAATAAGGTAGTAAGTTCTATATATAATCCGTATATATACGAATTAAATAAAAGTTAGGCAAGTTCAGTCGAAAGAAATGGCAACTTATTTAATAATCAGCTTTGATGTTCATTGAATTGCTAGCGCAATTGATATCCGGTGAAGCATTTGCATCGCTAAAATAAATCGTATATAAGCGCACTTTCTTACCATAAAGGCAAGGCAATCATTCCGTAGGCCCCTGGCGTCTCCTCAACCAGTTTTACTTCGAGCACCCACTTTTAGGCTTAACGTTTGGATCGTCGTGTGTCATATTGTCATTTAAGGGAAAAGGCACTGCGAGATAGAAATTAAGGCAGGCAATAGGCGTCTTTCGGGCGATCTCGCAGTGTTTGTAAAAATATTCGTACGCCTACGTCATTCGAGATGATCGAAGACGACAAAAAAAGAGGAGATTCGGGCATTATTCTGAACATTTGGCTAACCGAGACTGCGAGCGGTCGTTTGGTTTCATCAAGGACTATAGAACGAATGTATGTAGTTGTCTCTACTTTTAAGCGCACAAGTAGTTTTAAGATAAATCCAGGGATGGGCAAAGTTTCTCGACATCGCGGACAGGCGGTCGAAAACTTTCGAAATCAATCCGCGAGTTCTTTCTCTCGACGCGCGCGAGAGAGATTAATCGATCAAGATATATATCGCTCGTCGAAAATATATATCGATGAATTAATTCGGCAATAAATTTCTGACGAAAAACATGTGGAATTCACGATGAAAATTTATCGCGCATTCCGAGAGAGAGAGAGAGAGAAAAGGAGAAAGAGGTGGCGACACTTTCTTTTCCTAAATTTTCGCACATCGCGAGCCGCCGTTAAAATCGCACGAGACAAACGCTCCGCCGATGGAAAATTCACGAAAATTTGGTCGCTGTGTTTTTTAGCATTAAGGAGTCGCGCGAATTCGTATATGCTTGAATCTTGGCGCGAGAAACGGAAGGATCGATCGAAAAGTAATTCGACTACGGGAGTCGCATGCAACGCGAAAGAAAAACAATATCCCGATACATAGATCTGCAAATATATACATATACGCATATGTATGCGCAAGTAAACAGGTTGAATGTAATAAAATACCGGCGAAGTGTGTATCAGTTAAACGCAGCTACGCGGAGTACGAAGAAGGGCAATTTCCAGCGAATAATCGGATTAAACTTAACGTAACGAGGGAAAACTGGGGGATAATCGACCGTGGTTTCAGCTCTGGAAAAAGGAAGGCTCGACATTTGCAATTTGACAAATGTGGGAAAGCTAAAGAAGCTTCGCTGAAGAAAATACGGTCCTTAAATCATGCGAAACATTTGAGAAATATCAATTAATATGTGATCAATTGATATATAAATACATAAAAGAAGGAGGGAAGAGGAGCATAAGCTCTCTTAAGTCACCGAGAATCGAGGAGAGGACGAAGCAAATGCGAATTTATTTGAAAGTATGATCTCATTTTTGGAAAACTCTATATGTGTAATGGAAATCTTACATTATATACGGTTTCGTCGTGTCCCTTTCGCGGTTTTCCGAACTGCATAAGTAATAAATAAATTGACGGTTTGATTTTCATGTGCCTTGACACTAAAGTGTCCTTCATGTCACGTTGTTTGCAAGACGGTTGATGAATGTTAAATCAAATAAAACGGATAATTTTGGAGAGAGAATTACGGATGGCAATGCTGGTCGATGCAACGAACGGGATGACGTAGTTGTACGCAACGGCAATTTTGAGACAGGCATTGCACTTTTACCGCGCGATCTATATTGTTTGTACTTTTTTATAAATCCCAAATCTCTCATTCCATTTGTATATTCGCTGAGACACACTGTTTCTTCATTGATCTTCGCCGGAGAAGCGTGCGCGCCGTCCAAGCTTACATTCGTTAAAACATCTTTGCACCTTCGAGATCAAGAATGCGTTACATAAGTAAGTGGTTGTACATATATAAATTTTCGCGGGAATATATAAAATTGTGATTTTAACAGTGTTTTCGATTCCGCAATGATAAAATGTCTTCCGTGCGTTGCGAATATTTCAAGCAGCAGATCTCGCGTAAGCGAAACAGATGTCTTAGCCCTTAATAAGTAATCTGTCAAATAGTTTGACATAATTATATTTCTGTAAATGTATTTTCAAAAAAATATTCAACTCTATCTAATTCATATATTAGAATATTCCTTTTTATCGCCTTTCTTCACGTTGGAACAAATTGATGAGATTTTAGCAAGTTTCGCGACGAGGGCAGAAATTTGCGCGATTAAAGTTAAACAGGGAAGCAAAGGCTTTAACACTCGACGCACAGATCTCTGGTTCCCCTTTTTTCAGAGCTGACGCCACGGTACGAAGAAAAGCAATCAAACAATCATAATCACGTCACTGCGCGGAGGTCAATCGATCGACACTGGATGCGTAGACGCGGTTACAGATGAAGATTATCTCAGGGGTGCGAGTCTAGGCACTAGATAACGTAGGAACTAGAAGCGGCAACGCGTGCGTCCACGCATAGCCTAGTCAATTCATCGACGTCGACTTCAAACGATAGAGTGCGGATAGAGTTAGGATTCGCTTGTACGAAGAAATCCTTGTGACTGTGATCCTCGGGATTGTCTATAAAAAGAAAACTTTTCGCGTGCATCTTGTCCGATCGATCGCTTTTCTCGATAAACTCTAATATAATCAACGAATGTTAATTTTCCTCTTCCTTTATACGTTAATTAGATTCCTTTTCCAATTTTTTGAAATTTTACGAATCCAGAAGAAATTTTTAATAATTTATATTATAATGTTGAACAGTTATTAAATGTTGTGTAAAATTTAAAATATAATTATTTTTCATAAAAATTAATAAATCTGATTTTTCAAAATATTGATAACTTAATTATATATTAATGAAATAAATTTTCTCATCCTTTGTGTGTCGTACTTTCAAGAATAATTTTTTATTCTAATTATATTATTTTATTCTTTTTATAATTCTTATTGTATTTAATTTCAATATAGCAAATATGCGAGAAGAGGTCTACGATCATCGCGAAATGATCGTTCGAACAATTGCACGTCGATTTTGACTAAACAGCATTATCGATATCGGACACTTCGTTGCTTGGATCATAACTAATCAAGGCGTTATCCAGTGGCACGTTTAGTTACGATGACTGTGTAGTGTCGTGAGCGGCAGCATTTCTCATTTTCGTTCCCTACGCACCGATTGCACCGTAGCTACCAAGTAATAATGCACCAGCAATATTTGTAAACTAGCACAGTAACCATGTATCGCGATCTCTTCAATTCTCTAGGATATGCTCGTGTTGCTGTGAATATATAATTGCGCTCGAATAATAAACGAATAATAAACTTGTTGTTCGTTGCCGCACGAAAAGTTCGGTCTCAGCGCAATCTCGCATAATATATACACAGCACACACACACACACACACCCTTACATACTGTATTTCATATAAAATCGCATTGATATGAGAATTCACCGTGATTTCATGTCTGATGACCTCCGGCACCTTTCCAGCCGGAATGACTCTTATCTTCGCGTTGCGAACGTTATTCTTGCAGCTCTCAAAGTATGACCGCAGTCTTCGAGGTATTACTGCGGCAGCATCCTTTAGGTAGCGCAAAATCGTTCGTGCGAGATTTATGATAATGCAATTACACGAAGAGAGTTCCGAATTACGTTTACCGGCGACGGTGAAGCGTGTAACACCGTTCCGGAAACTCATCAATGCGCAATTCCCAGTTGTAAATTAATGATCCTCGTAATATCGATCGTTGTGCATATACAGTCGAGTTCCCCCTTTCGCGCTTGGGGAACACGAGCTTTTAACCGACGACCCATAAATCTCCCAACCCCCTCCCCTCCCCCCCCCCCGTCCCCGCAATCTCGACGATCCTCCGATTATCGCGAGAGGATCGTGCAATAAGTTATGATTCGCGCGTGTTTCGCGCCTCACGGTAGATTTTACGTAACCCTCTTATATATATATATATATATGTACGTATATCCTTCGCTGTGCTTTCTGAGCATTCGTCACTGTACATCGAGGAGAAATCTCTTACGTACACATCATCTTGGCGATGAGCTGAATTTCAGTGCCTCATTTCCTTCTCTTCCGTTTGCTTTAGCCGAGCAGTAGTGGCATGGGGTCCGTTACAATCCTGGTACTTTCCCCTCACCCTCTTCTCTCCAACTAATACACACACACACATATATATATATATATATATATATATATATATAAAGTGGAGTAGCTAGATGTATCATATATTAAATCCATGTGTGTTATTGCAAACTGCGACATGCACTTAGGAGCGTCTTAGATTAACAAAAATACCTTTATAGACGAGAGGCAAGTTCATCTCGCTCGAGATGACTCGGATATATATTATTGGGATCATCCTTGTAACATTAGTTCAAGTCACTTATTTGAGATTTACTCGCGGTAACGCTTTAACTAACGTTTCTAAGGATGGCCCGCGACAAGACTCTATGCGACTACTGCCAAGTTAACAATGAATAATCGGATTGTATTGTTACGCTTTCGGAAACGCTCGAAGCCTCGATAGTCGAGAAAATAATGCCGATAGAGAAATGAAATGCGTTTGTCGTTTCGCGTATTTTGCGTTTGTCGAGGACTATTTTAAGAAACTTGAATCAACGTTATAACATTGTGGCCGCCCAAAACACCAAAGTCTGTAACTTTATAAGTGATTTACAACGAAGGCGCCAATACGTAGGACGCGTTTCCAGCGGTCATCTTAGTTTCTGAGCTGTGGCAGGCCAATAGAGGATAGGGTACGCATCATCGATTTACCCCCGATTACACGACGGCTCGTCTCTTGATAATATTCGGTACGTATCTCTCTGTGTGTACGAACTTAATGTTAAACTCGGACGGTAAACTTGCGAGAAGAGTAACGATAATAGCAGTAGACGTGTAGGCGCGACGAGTATACACGTTGCAGCCTAATATCGTCGCATTACCTCCTTGATTTCAATGCGTGCTAGCCACATGTATGATACCCACTTACACACATATCTCTACATGAGCATACACACACACAGACAGACACACACACACGTACGTTCACGTAAAAATTGAATCGTATCGTAACACTATATAAGTAATATTACTGTACGATATGGCGTCGATGTTATTTAATCCCCGTTATTACATTAAAGTCAGCCTATCGTGCCGAGGAAAGCAAGATACGGAGGTATATTTATCGCGTTAAGATTTCAGGAAGACACAGGTCTAACTAATTTACGTAGATTCGTTAGGGATCGTAAAAATTAACATAATCAATCGAAGCGTTGAATTTATGCAAGATATATGATATACGTATGTAATCCACACAGATTCGTAGATTAGTAGAAGACCGCGTCGACGAAAAGCCAAAGGCCGTGATCGTTGCCCTTTTTCGAATGATATTTACCGATCGCGGGCGCATTGATCATGTTTCCAAAAGGGAGAAAGGGAGAATCGAAACGCGACCCTTCGATAATCACAAACGGACCACCCACGCGAGGGAAAGAGTTGAATCGAGGCCCGTAGGTCATGTTCGAAAACCGTCGTGACTCTCGTGAATCGGTTGACATTCACGTGGCCAACTTTGAATTGAGGTTGAATATCAACGATGATGACTTTTGACATTACCGTGTGCAAAGTGCGTACGATTTGATCATCGCAAATAAAGAAAAAGAGAGAGAGACGAGAGCATTATTCATTCGTGATGAATTCGAATGCGATGGAAAAAAAATACAAGGTGTTCCTGAATGGTCTGAATGTATGACCTTTTTCCGTCTTGATTGCAAAAACTCGATGGATTCACATCGCATTTTGACACGCATTCGATTATTTCGCCATTTTTATACCTTGAGATTTGTTACATCTTGCAAATTTTCTATCACAGATTAGATTCAATGGCAGTTATAAAAATCAAATAATTTCTATAAAAAAAAAAAAAACTAAAAGCAAATATCCTTTTCATGATTTTACCAAAGTCGGGATCACGGGATTTCTTCGGTATAAAATAATCAGAATTGATTGAATATTATTGTGATTTTGAAACGAAAAAGGAAATGTAAAAGTTCGATCCATGCCGATCGATTCTCCGAGCAAGATCGATGAGAACGCAAATCGGTAAAATTTTCCTCCGCAATCGGGAAGATCGCGAACGGCAGGAGCGAGAATCGGCGCGTTTCTTTTTAACGATAAACTTTTAACGGTACTTAAGGTCACAAGCGTATTTTTAGTGGTCATTGAGAGGACAACGAAAATCGGCAGAACGAGTCCTGAGCGTTGGAAACGAATGGGAGAGCGAATGGAGCGAAAGAAGGAAATCAAAGGACGATTATATATGGAAAAACGTCCGAGTAGTTTGTCGCGCGCGCGTAGATTTTGCGCGCGCTTTAAGTTATCACTTATATATCATAACGAATGAAAATCCATATAAATAAGTACCGGTAAGCGCGACACGCGAGGAGGATTAAATCACACACATAAAATGCGAGTTCTATCTGTCATCGTTAATTACTAAGGATTATCAGAGTTTGGAGAAGCTCTAAAGTTAAGCCGAATCAAGCATAAGAGTATAAGTTTATAACCTGTAGCGAGGATACGCGAAGGAGTGTAGTACAATATTAACAAGAACGTGTATAAATATATATGAAGAGTATAAATAATATATATATAAAGACAAATATTATATATATATATATAAATATTAAATGCAGATAAATACGCATATAAATACAAAAACATGTAATTATTCCTGACACGCAGCGTTAATCGTTGGATGTACATCGAGGTGCTCGTTACGATTGAGTTTTATCGTTTGATTAAACATCGCGTGACCCGAAATATCGCTTTTGAGCATCTTGAGATGTCGAAAGGATTACGAGAATGAAACGCGAAGCAATGAGAGGCAATTCATTGCTTCTGTTGGCGAAGAACAAGAAGCGTGATCGGCAACGAGCATCGTGATCGATGTACGCACGTTGATCATCAAGATCATTTTCGAGATAGTCTACAAGATGAGCTGTAGAAGTAGAGAGTAGATCATTTTCAGAGACAGATAATAAGATCGAAGCATGCTGTTTTTTGCCTAATGTGCTATTCATATAAGCGTACGATTCAAAATATGCGATGAGTATATATATATATATATATCGAAAGATGAGATTATCGATTTTACTTTTGTGAATTTTGAAGGGCATTGGACTCGCGGCATTGCTTTCCCCTAAAGTATTTCTATCGGTATTTTATATATTATGATAATTACAATTAAATCGATAATTAAATATTACGATAAAGAAATTTGTGTAAAATCAAAGTAAAACGCAATATTGTCGAGTAAGAGTTCTCGATTATTGATATAATCGACAAATGTTTTTATTTAACTTTCATAAGTAATATTCTTAAATAAAGATTCTTCTGATTTTTTTGCATTTTTCGAGGCTTCAACCTCGAATGATTAATTGAATTAATAGATACGATGATGGTTTCTCGGAGCACTCAACGCTAAATTTTAGCGTGGCTCGTAATTAATCGAACAAAGATATTATCGGAACAATAGAGTAGAACAATAACAATTAATGCGTCGCAAGAGTTTTCTGAATAAGAGAAAAGAGAAAAGAAATATGAATGTGTATCGACCATTACTCACCCCACATTACCTGTTGCCATAATAGATTATAAAACATTTCCAATGTTTCCTAGTCATTATGGTTGTTATGATAAATCTTACTCTTGAATGTGTTAAAACAATAGATCGTCATTCTATAAATGTCCATTATGTTACATATATACATAAATATATATACGTTACGTTGTCATTGGAGTTACCATTACCAATATATTACCGCATTAATGTGAAATATGGCAATTATAATAATGCGAGTGTCGAGGTGTTATAAATATTAATGTATAATCGTCAACGACACTGTGTACTGCGCAATGTTTTTTCCAATTAACGATTAGGCGATTACATATACAGGTGAATCGCATCGATATAATGAAGAAAAAAAAACCGAAATGATATTAATCGTCAATAATAATAATTGCAGCAATGATAACAAATGAGATATCCATAATATGCATTAGATACGGGATGTCGTGTGTACTTCGAAGACGTCCCGATGTAGAACCTGTTACATTATTATGTTTAATGCGATATACGTAAGCTGAACTGTAATAATAAAAATATATAAGCATAAAATATATATATCATATGCATATCGTTATTTTTCTTTATTATCCTGATATATCGTGATATTCTCAGGACCACATGTTCATAATATCTGAATAGATTTAAATTTAGATTTTAATTTCTGAACAGATTTAAATTCAGATTTAAATTTAGATTTTAATTTCTTTAATTAACATTTAATTATTTTATTTTTTTTTAATTTATATATCTTTAATTTTTTTATTTTAGAATATATATTTAAAAACACTCAGAAATGTATCTAAAGATAGTAAAAACAAAAAGTAGCGCTGACGTAGAGGCGATATAAAATTCATCAATATTCAAATCAAATTGCACATTATATACATCATTATTATCGTCCCTTAAAAGTAGATCAAACGAATTACAAAGCGATGCAAAATAACGATCTAAAATAACGATTTATCGAGTTCTGTATTGAGAGAGCAATTTTTGTACATTCCCGCTTGACCCAGTTTGGCGCTAAAAGTCTGACTTCGAGGATAATATGTCGTCGGAACTGTATGAATTGTTGGTGCGTACCAGCCGTAATCCATGGACGTTTTCCAGTAGCAAGGATGAGGCGGATTATCCTGACCGTAACCTTTAAACACTCCTGTAGAAATTATTAACAATTAATATAGAATGAATGAGCGCTGCATGCACAATAATGCATTATTCTCTCTGATATTTAACAATGCAGCTATTTATATATCAAATAAAATATATCTCTCTTGTTTCTTTTACAAATTATTATTAAGATTATTTATAATCCCGTTCATGTATGTCCCCTCGACTATCCATTAAATCTCTAAAATAGTTCATCTTCGTGTCATTTATAAATACAATGCTAAAATGTTTTTTTTTTTTGTGCAAGCTGCAATTCTTTCTTGCTAAAAAATTGGTAATGAATGTGTCACAAGTTTTTTAGCAATTAATTAATTAATTAATTAATACTTTTAAAACCAAATATATATGTTATTTCTTAATTTCATATAAAAATTAAACTCAGCATTATATTGGTTGCATGATGAACAACTGTCGTAATGTGCACGTGAAATAGAAATCTCGCTTACGAGCTCTGGTCGGCTTCTCGAGCCTATGAATCGATCTCCGTACAATCGTACGGTATTTCATACGCCAAGCTACTGCACTGATATTGACCATCGATTATTCCGAGATCGTCGATTAAAGAACCGCGTATCTTGAAACCGGGATCTACAGACGTATTCTTCATTCTCGCGAACGCCGCCATGTCCACGTAACGAAGATCGTTGTTGTTTAGAAACAGAAAAAGTAAATTGTCCAGGCCTTGAAAGCTATCGGATTTTATCACGGTCAATTGATTGCCGTTCAGCCAGAGTGAGCTCAGCGACTTCATGTGTCGAAAGATACCGGTGGGAATCGCCCTCAATCGATTTCTGCCCAAGTCGAGTTCGTTTATCTCGTTAAGACCGCGAAACACGTCGGGATGCAGGGACGAGATCTTGTTGCGCGACAGATAGAGGAGATCTATGTGCGATAGCCCGTTGAACGTGCCGATCGGTACTTCCGATATCTCGTTCGAGTCCAACACCAGCGTTTCCAGCTGCCTGAGCCCCTTGAACATGTTTCTCCGCAATGCGAGCCGGTTGTTGGTGATGTAGAGCTCGTGCAACTCCGAGAGTCCCTTCCACGCGCCTGGTCGAAGGGTTGAGATATTGTTGTGATCCAGCAGCAGAGTCTCCAGGCTGCTCAGCCTCGCGAAAGCGCCCTCCTCCACGTTGATGATCGTGTTGTTTCTCAGGTCTAAATAGGTGAGTTCATCGAGAGCGCCAAAATAATGTCGGCCGATACTCGACAATCGATTGTCGCGGACGTAGAGAGCGGAAGAGTTGCTGACCTCGATGAAGGCATTCTTAGCGACATCAGCGATCCCGAGGCTCTCCAGATGCAGCTCGATGTCCTCGATCGTCTGAACGGCGTTGACGTCCTCGAACGCGACGTCGTGAAGAATGTCGCCGTTTTCCAAACAGACATACAGGTGATTGTAAACCCGACAGTCAGCGTCCTCCGTGAAAACGATCGCGACGTTGACCGATAGGAAGAGATAAATGAGATGAAGGAAGCGCATGGTGCGCTCGAAGGCTGGATATGCACTGACCTCGTGTGCGTCAGGGATTTCTTCGCGTACACAGCGTGGCTCGAGATATTATTAGGTGAATATATATCGACGATAAGCTGAACGACACATACATGCATACTTTTCGCGTTATCTTAGATTTAATAATTAATTTATAAACTATCGGAACTGCATAACGACGGATAATGATGTCTTCTAATATATAATTCTCTTTCGTTTTCTTGAAATATATTGATGAATTATGTGAATTTAATTTGATTGGAAATTGAACACAAGCTAAACAAATAAAATTTTAAAAGACATACGGCTTCTCAACATTAAATATAAAGTTAATTAATATTCGTAATTTCAAAAGCGTAAATAAATAAATATTTAACTCGGTAATTGTAATATGAATATTTGCTTTATAATTAAAATTATAAACAAAAGAGTACTTTCAATACATTATATAAAATGATATATCATGTAATTATATATTAATTTTTTAATTATTAAGAATAATAATAATGAAACAATGGCATTGTTATTGAATGACCAAATATATACTTGTCGTTTGATAATAGTACATTTAATTGTTTAATATAAGCCATAATAAAATAGATAGAGATGTAATATAATATAATAAAAATGAACTTTTCAACAGAATATTTTTGAGAATTATATTTTCAAAAAATTTTCAATTTTCAAGGTAATATCTTTTGAATGCAATAAACAGAAAATATATCTGCATAGCCCGGAAAACGACAAGGAATTATCAATGATGAATAATAAAACCATATCAGAATCTCACACTTTACAATGTGCGGTGATAAAAAAATTCAGGCGCCGCTCGGTCCGCATATATTAACTTTGTGTACGGTTCGAGACGAGTTAGTTGCAAAAGATTCATTGGGACACATATAAAAATGCTCGTAGGCAGATAAGATTCGACGGGTGCAGTGATCGGCTTCACGTCGGCTTATTAATAGCTGAACATTATCATGCCAACTACTTGCGACTTCTCTGGACCAAAATATATACGTCGAAATATATCCTTGTACAAGAGCATACAATCTACTACTAATGTATTCGCATTCAGAAAATAATTCTGCTATTAATAAAACTATGTATTATATATACTTCCATTTATTTAATGGAATAACACGCTGCCATTATATTAAAAATTTCTATTAAATATTTTGATATAATTCATCCGTAATAAACACAGTTTGTTTTTCGTTTGGTATGCATGAGTGACGTATGACAGTTCGAAACTGCTCCAGGACATACGTGCATTTAAACGAAGGACGCGTAGGAAAAATATCGGATTTAATTTTAAAAGAGACTAACGACTTCGTATTACGTAATTGCGTTTGTAATATTGAGTTCGAAAACGGTAACATGTAAATCGCATCAAATTACGTCCGAGAAAAATGAGATCCAATTGCTTTCATATACATGTTGAATGTTTTCCAATTTCCACGTTTTGCGAGAATTTAATTTAAAATGAAATACTATTTGGAAAATTGATATGTATTATTCTTTTGAAACTTACTCGGATATATGAATTTTGATGAAAGATTATAGGTTCGATAAACCTCGTCAGTGCGTGGATCAAGTGCGGATGACTTTTCTTCACCTTGATAATCTGGAACTTTTTCATCACAAGAGCACGGTACAACCATTTCTTTATTACATTAACTTAATACAATAAGATTTGAATTTTGTTAGATAATCTTTAACTATTACTGATTTCGCTGCACGGTTATTCACTCGCCTAAAAGTCCGCCATCACTTGGTTTCTATAGAAACGATATTAAGCGTACAATCGATTAAACAAAAATATATAAATGTATATATAATATGTATATTAAAAGACAAAATAAAAATTTTTAATTAACCAAATTTAGGTAATTTTATGTTTTATTTAAATTTACATCATGTATTAATCAACAATATAAATTGAATTATTGTCGTTTCCTGTTCAAATATTAACATGTCACATAATAATTATTACTTATGTATGCGTTGCACCTAATAAATTAAAGCTAAACAATATATGCAACGTACATTAACGCTATTATATAACCAGTAGTCTTCAACGTTTTATAAACATGAACACATGTGCGGATATTTATAGCATTTATATTCTTTCGATATACTATTTTATTATAATTTATTGCAACGTATTACCTGCGTAAATTAAAAAATTATTGAAAATTTTCAAAATTTAAATATTACATATTTTTAACAAATTTACATAAAATTTTTTATAAATTTAAATCAAATTCTTACGCATTTGTTAAAAAATAATTGCATGTCTTATTTAGTCTTATATATCCTATATTAAGTATTATATATATCCCTATATCTTTTCACAATTTAATATAACATCCATTTAGTTATAGCTTAAATAATCTTATTTCTTATCCTTGTACAGTAAAAATAAGTTTTCTCTTTAATGCAATAAAATAATAATAATGAGTAATAATTTATATGTATTATCATGGATCATTTAGCAGATATGTGTGGCCTATTAAATAAATTTATATAAAAGGTATATAAAAAATATTGTATATTGAAATATTTGATGCATTCTCTAATAATTATATAACAAACTTTCTTATATACAGAAAAATATATTGCGGCAAATATTTTCAAACTTTTGCAACTAAATTTCAAGCACGAAAATTTATGCATGTACAGACAGAGATACGGGTCCCCTCTAACAGTCCTCAGATTAAGGTCAACAGACTTAGCAGGTGAATGACTAAGGTAACCGAACAGTGTTTTGGATTCAAGCAACATTTATGCTGCACGTTGCGCCAGTTATGTTATCATTTAACACCGATAATGGAAGTGATCTTTCACTTCGAAGACAGCAGCGATGAAATGCAGTGAATTAAGAATAAGTAAGACAAGATATGATAACACGTGAATCGTTTATTCTTTCCATGCATAAAACAAACATCTTTGATCTATATCTTATTGATTTAACTTTGCTTAAATCATATTACACTGAATTGTCTCTTGTAAAGATTATATTATTTAATTAATGATATTATAATATTGAATTAGGCTAATTTTTATTATTCCTATATTAACATTAACGACTAGGTTTAATATTATGTAAAATATTATGTAAAATATGTATTTTAATTTAAATGATTATTAACATAAACAATTGAGAATAATTTCATCGTTTATAAAATATGACAGATAATTCTATTGTTTTGTAAAATAAAAGATAAATTAACAATAACAATTATGCAATCATGATTACGTTTGTTCTGTTTGTTTGCTCTGATACTTTCACGTAAAATAATGAAAGAATAATTAGTCGATATTATATTTGCCGAATAAACATTTTAAAAATTTTATAAGGCAGATGAAAGCTTTTCAATCAGAAAAAGAGAAAAAACTATCTTGAAAAAAAAAGCGGACAATGAAAATGTTTAATTTATAAATTTACATGTTATGTGTATCATGCAAATAAACGTATATGAAGACATACGCTCCGTTTTTTTTAGTTCCACCTCCATTAACTAAGTTGAGCGGCAACATGCATGTAGGTATAGACTTAATGAAACGATTATCATTACCAGCACTTCCAGTTGTGGTCTGGCTACCAGAAGGAAATAAGTAGCTTGTGATAAGAAATATATCGTATGCGCAAAAAGTTAAAAGGAGCTAAAAAATAGTCGCTTTTATATATATGCGAGTTTTCACAAATTTCAATATGTTTATCTATTATTTTAAAGTACAACGTCTATGCGAAAAATATTTTAGCTGTAGGCACTTTTTTAAAAAATAAAATTCATGAAAAATAAAACTTGCGTACGATAAAGTGCTAATTAGTGCTGTGTTTTATAACTATAGTGTCTATAAGTGTAATTAAATATCAAACTAAATATAAAATATATTAAAAAATAAAATAAAATAAAATAAATATGCCACATAAATTGTTCTCAATGAAACAAAAAGTTGATCTGCTCATCAATAAAATTATATAATGTAATTAAACCTTACAAAATTATTTTATTTCTCGTTATTTTATCGCATAACAATATTTATGTATCACATATATACACAATATAAGCAGTGTATTTTAAAAAATTTCATTTTTATCTTGTAGATTCGGGACTAAGATAAAATTATGTTCGATAAAACTTGTCACAATTTGACAGTGATGTAATATTATCGATTAAGCTTTTCGAGAGCAATTTATAAAAATATATTAATATTTTTTTGCTGCTTACATAATTTCTAACATATTCAAATTTGACAAAGTATATGTGTGAAAAAAATAACGATAAATATTTAATAATAATAAGTGGCATACAAAGAAATTATCATTATCTGTATATTGCCTCATATCCTGCAGTTAGTTTCAAGGTTATTGTATATGCGATTGCAACTGTGTGTAATGTATAATATCTCCAATTATTCCTGTCTTCACGAATTTTTTTGTAATATTTCACACTTCATATGATTCTTTCGATACGTAATTACGTAACTGTCATCTGCAAATGCATTATGTAACTATCATTTACAAAGATTACAAAGATGGATTGATGATGCTTATCATCAAATAATGGCAAATTGCTTCAAAAGAATCTTGAATCCGTGTCTGAAATAAAGACAGGATCTTAAAAATATAAATTCTCGGCAATTAAAGTCGTATCTAACCATATAACCTGATTTGCTATTGTAAATGTGAATTAATAGAAGACATATCGATGATTGACAACATTAAGCATGTCGTTGCAAATTGCTTTTCTGTTACGTGAGAGTTAAACTTGTGGAAAACACGGCGACATACAAAGGCAATCGGAGAATTGATCGAATGCGCTTTATGGCGCACGATGCAGGAAAGTTCACCAATGTGACGATGGCGATGCAGGAAACTTGAAATTCGAATGACGGCGATCAGTGGATTCGATATATGTATATATATTCGATACAGAATGCGCCAGATTCTTCAGCAATGATCACGAGCTGCTACGTGATGCCGCTAGGAAAGTACGCAGAAATTAGTTACCGCATAAAAAGCGTCGCGGTGGAGAATGAACGGGTGTTTGGTGATGTCTACGTCACTCATCAGACGCGGGATCTGGATTGCCAATCGAACGATTATGCTTTTCTATCGGACTACAGCAGACGAAGGCGCAATCTGATACAAAGGACCATGGACGGACCGGATTTCATGAAACTGAATAGCAAATGGCCTGCAAGAAGTTCCGCTGTCGCGAAATCGTCTTGGCAAAGGCGCAGCAAGTTCATGAGGGATGAACCGAGCGTGATTCCGTTTAATTATGAGAATGCTGGCAATCGTGACACGATCGCCAAAAGGCCCAAGGTAAACGTTCGCACAATGGGACTCGAGATCAATCGATCTCCTCGTCGGGAAGATTGCAAACCTGCGATATAGACGGATTTAGTTTGAATAGATATCTACTTGTTCTTGTTTGAGAATGTTGACTTAGGCATTAGCATGCGAAGTCGTAGGAGTTAAAGTATGTATCTACTTTTAAATTAATTTAACTTCCTTGAGAAGTTTCCTAAATTTATCCGTTATTAATAAATATATAGATTTTTTTGACAGATGTATTTTACAATAAAATATCTATATTTTAAAAAATTTTTTAAATACTTTCACTCTTTAAAATTTTCACAACATAAGATAGATATGCAGTATAAACTTAAGATATACAGGGTGTCCCATTTTAAAGAACTCATTCAAATATATCAGAAACACTTAAAATCGAATATTTTACGGTTTATGTAAAATTAAGAAATTATTTCAAGCCTTATAACTCGAAAAGTACTTAATGGAAAAACATTTAATTATTGTGTTTTGGAAAGCTCTCATGTCAGCTACAAGAATACCAAATAAAAAATGGGGATTTCCATTTAAGATTTTAAAGTTGATCTTCATATGATCTTCAAATGATTTTCCAAGGTCAAATCATTGTCACCATCTTATAGCCCCCTTCAAGCCACACAACTTTTGTTTGAAACATTTTTCAATTTAACGCAGTGTTTCTGAGATATTTGAGTGGGTCCTTTAAAATGGGACACACTGTATAATACTTATAACGCGAAAGTTGATACAATAGCTTCGTCAGGAGTAGAAATAATCACATCATTACTATATAAAATGAGTCATTTTTCTTTTCGTTAACAGAACCGCTCTATATTAATCTCCCTTCTACATTAATTTTCCTGAAAGAAACATTTCCAATACACCAGAGATGATTTTATTTTAGGTATATCCGCCACCTTTGCGTTATTCGCCGCTACAGAAAGAAATTGTGATTACTTCATTAGTGGATCAACTATTGTTGGACATTTATGGCATTCCGATGGGCGACAGGGGACGTTCAGAAAGCGAATCAACGGCATCGTCCTTGAAACCATGTCCGCAACATCAATATCTGCAGAAAGCTCGTCTGCTATTGAAAAGTAAGACAATTCAATATGAGTGGAATAAATAGGCGTCGAGGAAAAATACAGGCGCATGCAAGCTCGCATCTTGATGATTGAAACTTGATAATAAATAACGCAATCGTTATTGCCAGTGCTCTTGAATATCACAGCATAAAATGAAAATATTTTTTATTATAAAATTAAATGTTAAATTTATTACTACTTAATATGCTAAAAACAAATATATACTATATATATATATATATATATATATATATATATATATATTAAATCATTTCATATGAAACATATAGGTAGCATTTGGAATTTTCTAAAATACAGAGTGAATCTTATTACTTATAAAGCGTCTTTTGTAAATACAAAAGATCTGAATTTTTAGTTTTATTATTATTTATATCTTATAAACGAATTTAATAAGAACATTGAATCTGCTCAAAACTGAAAGCTACTCAAAACCTCTTTTTATTACATATATTATACAACAATAAAAGCGACAGCTTGATGTAACGCTCTTTGATTTTTATTCGCGATTGAAAGAGCCTCCATTCACTTGATATTATAATATATATCAAAAATCAATATCATGCATATTTATGATAAAATATAACATGAATCTGATTTCTCTTTTAATTACATCAGCTACAATAGTTTTCTTTCAAACAGCTGCCATATAATATTTTACGATAAAAAATTACGTTTTATAAAATAATACATTATAATGACAAAGAAGAGAAATGCAGAATATTGTCTTACACATTTCTTCTTTCACTTTTTTTCCAATAACATCATTATTCACTATATTATCTCGACTATATTATCTTGCAAATTTCTTTTAAAGATTTTTCAAGACATTGTGCAACTTTCAATTTTATGAATAATGAAAATGGTTATCGCGATATAACATGTACAATCATTTGATGCGTTCGCGCAATATGCATGTTTCTGTATTTCCCGCGTTTTCAAGATTTTCGAATTAAATTTCGCGTTCCAGCTAAACGACACAATAACGAAAAAAACGAAGGCTTACTATACGTTTTTTGCGTTTACGAAAAAAACAAAAGCAAAAATAACAAGAGCGTTATTAAATTATACTGCTACACTCTTTGAATTGTTTGTTTAATGGTTTATTCAATTTTAATCTCTAAAAAAAATATATAAAAATAATATTTTATCAAAAATAAATATCATACACCAAAGAGAATAATTCTATGTGTAGGAAAGGATGAATTGCAGATCTTGCTTGTGATTCTACATGAGCACATCATTCACACAGGCGGGTTACTTGTTCGTCAGCTGCGCCGAAAGGATTATCTTATTGCTAAACGTAATAAACAGTACGATATTATTACGGCTTATTTGCAAGCACACAGCGCTAAGCGATGTAAGTAAATATTTTATTTTAAATATATTTTGCGTTAATGCATGAAAGCAATTATATTTAACATGCAATGCCTATCGCGAGCATTTAAATTTCATAACATAAAATTTCTCGTCACATGTGTATAACTCTAAGGAATAATTCAAGCAATTTATTATCAATATTAATTTTTAACTTACTCGATCTCATTATTATTTAATTAATGTGTCTTAAAAATCATTATCATGTTTGCGAACAAAAGGAGATATAAAATATCTTTCTTTATATAATTATTCGTATCTTGTTCCACAAGACATTTTAACAAAGAGGAGATCATCTGCTTATAACATTATTAGTACCGTTTTGTTCAAGGATTTTTGGTGCACAATATTTTCTCCGAAATTGTTGAAATATTCTCGATGTTGCTTAAAGTATTGGCTTCCATTATAAATTTATAAAGTAGCGCGCAAATGGTAGTTCTGGGAAAAGAAACTTACTCTATATTTCGAGTCGGAAATATCCTATAAGAACTGTTAAAAAATACAGAAACATTGCCATGGCACACAAACGTAATTCCAGATTTTAGAAGATTAAAGAGAAACTTGGGTATTTCCTATTTCTTAACTTATTTCTTTATTCCTTAGAATAAAGTGCAAAGTTCGTATATTTAAATATAGAATAATTTTTCACGCGATTGAAATTCTCATTAAGTCTCCATTTAATTTTAAAAGATACGATTAAGAATATTCATCAATGTATATCAATATTTAACTCTTAAAGCAACAGAAATTTTTTCGTACCATCATATTACATTCATATTATTGTCAATGATGAATGTCGTGCGAAGAATGTAAGATATAAAAATTTGGCGTAATATACCGGCTCTATCGAGAGACTCTATTCTCGGGGATCTGTCTGGGCGTCGCGAAGAAATCGTGGCGTCAAGTTGCCGTTGCCGCGAAGAAACGAGCTTTCATATGCGACGATGCGGTGATCAATAATTAGACTTTGCCGCGTCTCTTCGCCGGAGCAAAGTACGCATGCTCCACGTGTACGAGAAGTTCCGACGTGGCGTCATTGATAAAGTTTCTGTTCAAGTGCTGTTGCGCTCGCGCCGACGGAGGATATATGCGTATCTTTTCTCGTGTCGATTCTTACCGGCGCGATGAACTCGAAGTATGAACTTCGAGATGAAGAATGCGCGCATTTTTGCGCATAAGGGATCAATTTTCTCGTAAACTTTTCGTCCAAATATATGTATGCGTCTACAATTTGACGAAATTTTATAGAAAAAATTCTCTACCGAGTTTCTCGGAATTTTATTCATATTAATTACATGTATAATAATCAACAGATTTTGCAAATATATAATTACTATTATTTAGATAAATTTTTTTACAATCAAATTGATGACAAGAAGTCATCAAGTTCTTGAATTTCATGCTTATTTTGCCATTTGTATAATTTTATTATTGATTTTTGATAAAAATATATAATTACTATTATTATTTCGATACATTTTTTTAAATCAAATTGATGACAAGAAGTCATCAAGTTCTTGAATTTTATGCTTATTTTGCCATTTGTATAATTTTATTATTGATTTTTGATAAAAAGGGAAAATAAAAACATCCTAATTGTATCTCATTTAAAATCTTTTATCATATTTAAACATCGACGAATCATTTATAACGAATAATTATTTACAACGAATGATACAGTTTCTTTATATCGCCCTGGTATCGTCCGTGATTTATTGATCTCACGTATTTTTGAACCTACTATTTTTACCGAATAAGATAGATTCGATACCTCGGCCCAACGCGCAAATATTATCTACGAACTTTCTTTCCGTGCCATTAACCCAGTAATGCCGGAAGCGCACCTCCGTCCGCGTACCAAATGAGCATGTAATGAACTACACAATACGGGAACTTCCTGATGTTCGAAACGATTATTATGGATTGTTTGAATCGCATTTTCCATAATATAACGCTTGTGACGCTAGATTGGTCATGATTATTCATATAAAAAGCTTCATACAATATTATGTGTATGTAATAAAAGAATTGTGTTTTTAAAGTGCAGCAAAAGAAAGTAAATTCGAAATAGTCACAATAAAAAAATATGAATTTTTAAAGGATTTTTAAATTATTTGTGTTAATTATGTCTTCAAGAAAAATTAATAAAGACGCATAAACTGATGTAACGTAAAAGTTTCTTCGCATTCTAAAATATAGTCGTAGATACGCTGCTTATGAAACAAGTTTCTGTATCATTCTATTATTCCGCTTTAGTAAAGAATTGTAATCTCAAGCGCAAAATTATGGCTTCTATCAGTGTACATTGAAATCTATTCGTTGATTATTGGTTAGTAACTACATGTTATTAATAAACAGAAACTCGATATTCCACATGGAATTGGGTTGAATCAACATCACAAATTTCGATAATTTATCGATTCAAGATTCGCATAAATAATAAATATTCCGATAGTGTCGGTCATAAAATAAAAATATTATGTTAATGATAAAAAGCAAATTATTCTTAAAAAGCAGTTTATTCTATTCAAAGATGTAAAAATTTGCGTTTATGCGAACATCAATCAAAGAGATATACGAATCAATAGATATACATCCTTCGATTTCTCGTAACAATGCTAACTATTTTGAGTGACCTACAAAGGGATGAAATCAATGAAGACGTCAATCGTTAACCCGCAAATATTCACATTAATAAACTATCTTGTTTCTAACAATAAATTCTGTTCTTTCAGAAATTGATAAATGAAAAGTTAAAATTAGTAATTTTACGAATTTTAAATAAAAACTAGACAAATTTAGATACAATTGTATGTCAGAAATTTTTATTTATAGTGATTAATTTTATCACGAAAAAGTTTCTCAGTTTATTTCACAATTGTAATTAACATAGGCAAATGTTATATTACATTTTGTGAAATAACTCATCCCAAAGATGCATGCTTTTGCATATGGGCAATATGAATATATAATAAAGTTTGTATAATAATATGAAATCTTGAAGACATAGTCCTCGTGTTCGCTTGATCTAATAATCCTCTTCGCGAAAGACGCATTAGATGAACTGGCATTAAGCTGCTCCACTTAATCGAAAGCACTTAGTCTGAAGCCATTAATTTTTTATGAATAAACTATTCAGCATAATAAAAATTTAATTACCCCTGCATCATTCGCTACATTGTATGTTGATATTTATTGCGACATATAATTGTGAACATATAAGTGCGCGCACGCACTTGCTAAAGTTTAGTGCTTTAGATATGTCATTCAACCAGATTAATGATACTGTTTCTTAACAAAAAAAAATTATATTTCTTAGACGTCATTTGATGCTTACGTCATTTGATGTCTGATATTATTAATTATCAATAATCTAAATAAAATAAATAAATAACAACAATAACTACAATAAATAAATAAATAACTACAATAAAAAAATAACAAATTATGAATAAGTTTTAAATAATTATAGAAGCTAAGACTTTCCGTCTTATTAAAAACTTAATTAACATTTTACAAAAGAGTAAATTTTTCGCAAAAGAAGAAAGTGAATGATCCTGCGCGAAATATATATTAAAAAAAAAAGTCGGATTTTGTCGATAAGTCTCGAGATGTATTCGACGCAAAGAGCAGTCTCAAGCGTATTCTTCTTGAACCGATCAGATGCACGGGGGTGAAGGAACGCACGCTGTGAGAAATCGCACGGGGCGCGTGCGTGGTGACGGGAGTGGCACCACTCTCGCTACGGGGTTGGAACGACGATTCGTGGAACAACGGGTGGTAGTGCCTACTGCAGGATTCCACGAGGAGGCAGCCACCCCTCGTGGCAGCACCCCCTCGTCTCGTCGTTCCACCGCGGGGTTCGTGCGCGCGCACATGTCGTTCTATCTATCCGTGACCGTTCAGCTGACTCGACGCATTCGTCGCACGAAGACGCTCCTCCAGATACTTGGGACAGCTGTCGGAGCGTCGTCGCGACGCCGACGACGCGAATTTTGCGGGTCCATCGAGTATGCTGTCGAGTGTCAACCGGCTGACATGAGAGACGCGTGCACCAAGTGTCCGTTCGCGTTTCCGGTGCTCTCGTAAAATCGTTTCGCGAGAGACAGATATGCACGTCGAGGTCGTTCGCTCGTGGTGCATTCGTGGCGTCATAGTGTATGCGTATCAATGTATATCAAGATAGTGTCGTGCTGCATAATCGACGATCGTCCGATAGCGCGCTGTCAATTCTCACAGTAAAGATGGTACGATCCGACGACGTGTTACTTTCGTTATGTCAAAGTGTCAAAGCACCGCGTTTATTTAACGTCCTCTGCCGCGAGTAAGTATGTCAACTGTCTTGATCAACCGATGGACCAAAGTCGCGATTGATGCAGTTCGAACAGGGTGCACGTATAAGTCACGCTCGTTTCTTGAACGAATTACGTGCATTTAATGAGAAAATTTATGTGTCGCATATTGGGGCAATCTCGTGTGAATAATAAAACTGCTCGTACGATTTCTAGAATAATCTAGGTTCAGGTTTCGAAGAAATAAAAGAAAAAGGAAATAATAAAAAAGAATAGAGAGAGAAAGATAGAGAGAGAGAGAAATAGAGAGAGAAAGAGAGAAAGAATAACTAAAAATAAAATGTATTCAATTAATAGATTAAATTAAAATTAAATTGTTGACAAAAACACTGATCACTAAAATCTTCATATTATATTATGAAGCATAAAATAAACATAGAAAATTAAATTATTATAATAATGATTTGCTTCACTTTTAAATTTCTTATGTAGATTGTCTTCTTTCTGTAAAATATCGTCCAATCCAAATTAATACAAATAATTTGTTCATTTAAAATTTGTTTCATTTAAAAATCAATATTGATTCTTCTTCAATTTTTAATTTGCTTCACATATTTGTATATAAAAACATCAGATTGTATTTTAACTGATGTCGAATATTCGTGGGATATAAACGAGTTGCCACGAGTTTTTGGTATTTCGTCAAGAAAATACGAAATAAACAAAAGAGCCAGCAATAAATCAATAAATTAAGCATAAAACATTCATCTCAATGTTTGTGCTTCGTTTAGCTTCAAAATAAATAAATAAATGTGATATTTTATAATGATGAAAAATTCTAATTGCTGGATTTATCGGTTTAATATTTATTTTTAGGCCATTTAAAGCGGAAGTCATTCAATGTGTAAAATCACAGTTGACAACCGTGACTGATTTGAAACATGCACGCTTCTCACTCTCCCGCTTACGTTGCACGCACAAGCGGCTTATTTTTATCGACATATAACTCGCGATTCTATTAAAAACCTCAATATTTCTCTTATAATTTTCTTTTTTCATCAATCGTCAACAATTCCCGTAAGCTAATTTCTCGATATTTAATGACTAGTTAAAACGTACCTGATAATTTTGCATAGCAAAAGGAATGCAAGATAAACGGATATAAATTTAACGAATATAAATTTAAGTACCGCATACCTCTTTTTTAATTGCATTGTAATCGATCAATCGTGATCGGATTAATTACTCGAACATTTTATCCGTTTCATCAGCCGCTGGTGAAGTAAAAATCGATTTTGTTATCGGCTTTCGCCGCTCTTATCATGGTTATCTCGGCTTCTCGTCAACAAACTAGTGCAAGGTTTTTATGTTTAATATATGCTGAATAAATACATGCGTGAAATATATTTCAAAATTAATGCAATATAATTAACAAATATGTATTCGATATCTAAAATGAAATTACACAAAAACATCTCCCACGATCTATACAGACGTGTGTATTACATTCATATATAATATAATACATTGTGATGCTTGTAACAGGTGGTACAGATGTATACAGATGACATAGAAATAATGTGAGAAGAAATATTTCCACATTCAATTTATTGTCCGGAGAGAATTGAGGGAATTTTATTTGATATAAAGCTAGCTAGCGATAATAATTAAATTATATTTTATGTTATATGTAATATTTTATATAAAATATAAAGTTAAATTAATATATTATTAAAGTTTAATTGATATATTAATATTATCAGAATATTATTATATATATTAATATTATCAGAATTATATAGTGTTTAATAGTATTTTTATCAATCTATTATAACCAAATCATTTATTATTATATATTTAAATTAGATATCAATTATTATTGTTCATTATTGCTATTATTATTATTATTATTATTATTATTATCATTATTATTATTATTATTATTATTATTATTGCTATTATTATTGTTCATTATTACTGCAATTAATGCTTTTATTTCTGTCTCTCTCTATCTCTCTCTCTCTCTCTTTTATAAATTAAAATTTAATAATATACATATTAAATAATATATTAATAAAAATTCTCAAATCGTTAATTTAATATCAAGAAAATTTGTTTTTGCTAAACACAGTATGATATTTCTATACGCGGTTAAGTCAGCGGATCGATCGGCTTTTCAGAGCTATAGTAAAAATATCGCACGTTCGAAAGGAGCATCGCGATACGATAGGACTAAAAAGAGTATCACTAGAGTAAACCGACGGACGGCCGATCATGAATCACGAGAACGGTTGAGAGCATCGTGGGCGCGATATAATAAGAGACAGAAGAGATGAAAGTGAAAAGATGAAGAAGAGAGAGCGGCGCTTCTAATTGGAGAATGAACGGATTTTTCAACTCCCTCAAAAACCTCGCGTCCGGTGCCGCGTATGCTACCGGCTCTGCCTCGAGATACGAGGAGCTGGAAGGTGAAACGGCAGTTTCTGTAAATCCATCTCGCATGTTAATGTCTTCTCATGTCGCACGTGTACATAGCATGTAATTAGCTTTGTAAACCGCATACACACACATTAGCTCGTGAGAGAGAGAGAGCTAAACGTTGATAGATTAAATTCCGTCAAATATTGCTGCGAGAGCATCAACTACACATCCGAGTGCTATAACACACATTAACTTAATATACTACTAGAGAGTATCATGTAGCTGCATTGTAGCTTAATCTGCCCTGCTTTCAGTCATAAATATTAAAGTCTTCTTCTTTCCAAGTATATAACATAAAGTAATTAAAAGAGCTCACTTGATTCACTGCCATTTAAGTAAATCTAAAAGCATTGATAACTTTATATGAAAATTCAAAATGTGAGACAAATAAAAAATGTATTGCATAAACGAAAATTCTTGTTTAATTAAAAAGATTAGCGTTAAAATACTTATGAGATAAAATCATATTTTTGTTATGAATATTAATTAATTACAAATGTTATTTGTCTACGTAAAATCGAAATTTTATATGTATACATAAGTATACATATGAAACTATCGTAGAGCAAATCTACTTATTTATTAATATCCAAATATGAATAAAAATATACAAATATAAATTATCAAAATGAACTGCAGCAACACGCATATGTTCGTCGCAATTTCCATACGAAACGCATACACACAATTAGCATTTCAAGTTAAAATGTTCTATGTTTGTCAACGCTAGAGTATCCGTAAAATTTAGTGCATGGCACAATTTAATTTGTGACTAACTCGACGCGCTTTGTATTCCGACGCTATTTCATGGTGGTAGTAAAATTTATAGCGGTGTAACCATGTCTTTATCTGTAATTTGCAAGCCACTTCAACCATGAATTACAAGCAGCATACATTTGACTCGATGTTACAGCAAAAATTTTGAGCAAAGTTTGTGCAAAAGATACAAAAACACCGTCTATTAACGTTCGTTTTATTATAGTAACACGTAGCAAGTTTTTTGTTACTTTTAGTACTTTTATTTCGTGCCGTTTTCAGTAGAAAAAAAAAATTCGCAGTGGAGCAATAAACAGAGTAATAAAAGATAGAAAGTAATCTACATAGCAATCTAAAAATTCTCGCGAAATACCTTCGATATTGCAAAAAAAAAACAATACAATACAATAGAAAATACAAATTGTTACAATAGCAGAAATTATATTGATTTCACACTTCAGCGCGTATATCTGACGTGGTTTATTCAACCATTGATAGAATCCCATCGTAATCGAGCCGTGCTCGTTCGTTCGTAAATGTTGCGAGATGACAATAAGCAATATTGCTGTTGCACCGATCCATCCGCATGGAAATTGAATACTTTCGATATACGTCCAACACACGTGAAGTTTTGCCGGTGCATGAACGAATGAATAACTAGTCCGGTATCCCGCAGAATTTCTACAGGATTATTTCTACTCAAACCAGCCCGGCAATCCTTCAACCATGGTTGTCATGGAAACGATTATGCGACGACCCTTCCATTAAATGTTAAAGGCGATCGAGCTTGCTTCACTTCCCGACTTCGTCAGTCGTTCGTGGTCGTTCATATTCAGTCGAACAGGACGACAGAGTGACCATTATATATAATTTCGATAGTAAAATATTCAAATTATCCGAATCTAACGCCAGAAAACAATTCACGTGTTTGTGTGAACGAAGCTTTTTGTACTTTTGATTTAAATAAGCAATCGCTTTTCTGCTTGCGTTGTACAGTGTAAGATAATATTTTCTTTAAATATACCGATGGCTTATTGTTAATGCAAAAAAGTAATTCGAAAACACTGTGCGCTGTTAAAATTTAATAATAGATTATTATATTATGTGATAAAAAAATATATTATAAATTTCTCTCTAAATTTCAGTCGAAGATACGAAAATGAGATTCAGTTTAAGTCCACAGCCAGGAGAAATTACACAATGGCTAGATGCCATGAAGATGGTTGCCAAGTTACAGGGAGGGGTACCACCAGAATTTCGGAAAAGGGTGAGCAATTTATCTCTATAAAGAACTTGTATAAAAAGAAAGCGTTCCTAAAAATACATAAAAATTTAAAATACCTGTTGCTACAAAAATAGACCAAAAAATAAACTGATATCTTCTGATAGTTATGGTTGACGTTGGCGGAACGTCATCTGGAAAAGCACGGCGTAGATTGGAAGCAGGCTGAGAAGATTTGTTTCAATGAGTGGAGTAATCCTGACGACGAAGAGCTCGGCATACAAATCGTGAAGGTAGGTAGGCGATAAGATATTGTCTAAGTACGCCAGAGGCGATGGCGTATCTGTGTAGAAACTTCGACGTAAAGGATTGCCCTTGCTAGAATTTGCACGAAACTACTCTACTTTCGCAATATTTTGACAAATGTTAACGTTAGTTGCATGAACGTTGGGCCATCCAATATATCACTCGCGTCTCTTTCATTCCGTTCTTTAAAATTTTTCGACGATTATTCAAATTAAAAAGAAACTCAATTACGCAAATACTGTGAGTTTCAGTAGGTATTTTATCTTTTGATGATATTGTCTGGCAGACGTGCTCAGTTTGTCATGCCATCTTCAAAATGAATGACGGCGACCTGATTAATTCTGCGAGAGTATCTCTGACGAGCATCTCGGCGCATTTACTGAGATAGCGGTACATTAACTTCGATGTATCTTACAATTCTTGGCATGAGACATCGAGCTATAAACATAATTTTGTAGCGTAAAAATATTTCAACCGATGCTAAAGGAAATAAAGTGCATGAACCTAGGAAAAATTGATCATTACGCGAATTAAAATCAACGTGCAAAATTAAAGTGAGTTGCCGTTCTAAAAATACTTGCACCATTTGATATCTATTTGATCGCGTCAGGTTCGTGTCATTTATAGATTGGCTGATGCTCTAACTACTATTAATTATGTCAAATTAAGCTCGGATCGTTCATCACTATAACGAGTAAATATTACCGGTTACTTTTGTAATTAATGTAATTAAATTCATCCACGTTAATCTTAGTTTAGATTTTCGTCGCCACTCGCCTTTTCAAGCCTTGCTCATTAGTTTTCTCAGCTCAACGACCTAATAGATTAATTATTTATTCATTCAATATTTTATATTCATTTTATATTTATTTAGTATTTTGCAAATTTTTGAAAAATTTAATCAAAAGCCAGAGATAAATTAGAGAAAATTAACTTTGCTGAGAAATCACATTGACTTCTGCTACTCATTTAAGGCTGAGGCGCGAAGTATCAAAGCAATCGTCTTCAATTAATTCATCGGTGCTAAAGACATTACGATTCGTAGGATCTGCATAGGACAGGCTGCAGTCTATTCTGCGGTGCCGCCGGCCGGGACAATCAAGCGGTGCTTCGTCGAGTTCTGCTTGGTTTCGCCCGTTGGAACAAATCCGTGGGCTATTGCCAGGGTCTAAACGTCCTGGCCGCCCTCGTCCTGCAAGTGATGGATCGCGCGGAATCGTCGGCCGTAAAGGTGATGATATATCTGATAGAAGGCGTTTTACCGGAAGGCTATTTCGCCGATAATTTGCGCGGCCTCTCGGTGGATATGGCTGTATTTCGGGATCTCCTGCGCTCGAGGCTGCCAAAGTTGTCCAAGCACCTCGAGGCACTTCAGAGCGACGCGAAGGATAAAGCGACGGGTGAGTTGGGTTGATAAAACAAAGAGATAAAATTCTTTTGCGAATAAGCGCAAAAAATACAATGACGTGTCACTGCGAGATATATTATATTAATATTGTCAAAAAGGTGGCGGTATATATAGCTTCGTTGAACAACGTGTGAAATGTTTTCATTCTCTTGACAGAAAGTTTATATAGCGCTTGATAATATTAAATAATAAATTATTATTAAATAATATAAAATAATATTAATTATATAATAAATTATATAATAAATTTAATTAAATTATATAATAAATTAAATTTCCATTTTTTTACGTTAGTCTGTAAATGAAACATCGTTAATTAAATTAATTTTTTATCTAACGAAAATCGGTCAGATCGTGAAAAATATGAGTTTATCGCAATTGGAAAAATCTCGAAATATATAATTTAATTTAATTTGACTTTATTGCTTTTATCTTCCTTCTCTTAATTGTTATAAATGATAGATAATCTTACTTTTCAGGAAATAGCTATGAACCGCCGCTCACGAATGTGTTCACTATGCAATGGTTCCTTACGCTTTTCTGCCATTGCTTACCGCAGGAAGCAGTGCTTCGTGTTTGGGATCTGATATTTCTCGAAGGTAACGAAGTGCTCCTTAGAACGGCACTCGCTATCTGGGAAGGCCTTTCGAAGTAAGTTTGAGATTCGAATTAAATCGATTGTCAAAATTACACATGACAGAAATTACGGAGTACTATTATTTCCCGAATGATTATATGCGATGGATAAGTGTGAAATAATTAATTATTTCCGCAGTCGTATAATGACCGTAACATCAGCGGACGAATTCTACAGCATAATGGGAGTACTTACGAGAGAAATGCTAGAATTTACCGACACAAACAACCTCATAAAGGTGCAAGGCAGTTATTTATGCAGCATTTAATAATGATGATGTAATCTAGTATGGAAAATTGCATATCGCTTAAAGCACATAGCTTAGAGCTTTTCTCGCAATTATATTATTCATTAACAATTACATTGCAAATTCTATTTGACATCTTGTAAATAATATAATTTGCGAATTGTTTCTCGACAGAACATCGTTAGCATGGGACCCTTGCAAGGTGTAGCAAGTTTGAGAGACAAGCACCGATACAATATCACCCCGTGGGCGCGCAGACTGAGTGACGATGATGACAGCGAGGCGGAAGAGGATGAGAGAGTGGCTGTAACGGCTGCCATGTTCAACATGGCACAACGTATAAAAAAAGGTGTTTATCGTTAATAATTTCCGTAGATGCTTCAACGATGTTAAAATCAGAAACACAACAGCGTCACACATACACACATATGTTTATCGCTTTTCTAGTTATATTGGCTATTTTATCTATCTATAAAATTTGTAAATTAGCTGTATACATTGAATTCATTTTTATAAATCTTCATAAAACATACACACACACACACACACACACACACACATACACGTACATATGCTTTAACATAAAATATAATTTTTTCATATTTTCATTTTTCATATTTTTATATATTCATCTTTTCGTATTTTCAGATATAGATTTTTTTAGCTTTCTAAATCTTTGAAAAAACTTAATATATTTTTTTCATCTTGGAAAATAATAGGCCAATCAAAGTCCTTGTGAACTATTTTACATGTTATTATAAATAATAAATATTAATATAAATAATGAAATATTATTTTCAATAATAGATTAATGAAGTTATTGTTTTAAATTGTTATCAAGCATATTTTATATGAGAAAAAGATTAAAATATCACACTGTAAAACACCTACCGTCCGTTAAAAAAAAAATGATCAATTCCAGATCGTATACCTTCGACAATAGGAGCATTACAAGCGATTGCACCCAGCAGTGATCGAGACCGCCTTGCTCTCGATATTAGTACACTGAAGCAACAGTATGCAAAACTGCGAGAACGGCAACGGCAAGCACACATAATTCTTTCTGGTAATGATATAAGCGTTACATAAAAGTTAAAAGAGATCTAAATAAAAATATTCCAAAAGAGAAAAATGCGCAAAAATACAGTTTTGAAATTTTGTTTTGTAATTTTTCTTAATTTCTAATAAAAATTATACATTGCATAAATTTTTGTTTCATCGAACATAAGCGTATATGAACATACTGTTATAAACTAATAATATTCAACAACAATTCAACAACTAATGATATTCAACAGCGCTTGTGCGTAATATGCAATATGCATGCACATTAATATTAACATAACAATTTCTCTATTATCCATATTATTCAAAATTATATAGAAATAGAGCGTTGGCGAAAATTATATAGCGTTATATCTTTTGATTGAAACGCATACGTAGGTTTGACGATACATGTTACTCAAGTGTTGTATCTTTTGATTGGAACAACCGCATATGTAGATTTGACGATACGTATTACTAAAGCTTTATGAGCAGCACGATTCATTACGATGCTTACTATCGTTCTGCTTGCCACTGTAGCTTAGTCATTCCATATTCATGAATGAAGCCGAACTCATGTTCGCGCGTGTTTACGGTTGGATACTATCATCATATTTCCATCCGGATAAGAATATACGATAATAACGTCTTGACCTTTCGCGACATGTGACCTATCACGAAGAAAGCATGGCAAGCTTTGCAAGCCTGTTTGATCCGCTTCAACTTTTAAAGTAGCTACTTGGTGCAGCTTTTTAACGAGCGTATATAAAATTTATATGACTAATAATGTTCAATTGACAAACTTTCAAGCAAAATTAAAGTTTTCGTATGAAGAATATAAGACGAAATTTTCCAAGGTAAAAGTTAGAAATGGATTCGTTGGAAATATATTCAAGAAAATATAACAATGAAATTTGTAAGAAAAGTAACAATATTTTTATAATTATTTCTTAATCCAAGCACTACAATAAAAGCATATAACTATTAAACTATTAAAAAATACGAAAGTATATTTTATAATGAATATATAAAATAAAAATATGAGAGAAAGTAACATGTATTTTATAAATTCTCTAATAATTCTGTCCTGTAATAGTATCTTCTTTTAAAATAGATATAACAATGAAGAAAATATGATATTAAAATGCAATGTCAAAAATATTATCTTATACAACAACAGAGAGAGAGAGAGAGAGAGAGAATGATACAATGTATTCATATTCAAAAATATTTTGATATTATTAAGATTATATTTCAATCAATCTTACCTGATAGTAAAATCTTAATAAGCATCATCTTTATTCTAACTGATTTCTCATATTCTGATGCAGCCGCGTGTGCAAGACAAACCATGGTACCTCCCACTTCTACAGCCATGAATCATCTATTAGTGGGCAAAAATGCTCTCGTAAGTGGAAAAAATCGACCATTGAGCCTGCCGTCTGCCACTGCCACGTCAAAGTTACGGCCGACGGTCCTTCACAGCCCAAAAAGTCGCAGGGATAGACAAGGTGTTACGCTTCATTGGAAAGATGCGAAAAGGCCGAAACAAAGAGCCGGCGACGCTGGTGGTAAGTGCAATCAATTGTCAAAAAATCATTGGAATAAAAAAGAATTTTTAAAATACGAAAAAAAGATTTGAAAATATTATAAAAATATTTTGAATATTAAAAACAAGATGTAAGTGCGAGCTATTTTTTGAATATGGATAGAAATCATTTATAACATCAAATGTGTGATATAAACTGATAAATAATTATAAATGTGTAAATAATGATTAAAAAATGAATTTTTCAAAAAATATAATTAATATTATAAAAAGAATGTTATAAATCAACGATAACAAAAACGCATCTTTAATAATTGAATGATCAATTTTATGTACGTATTATTTTAATTTAAATTTTAGTTTATGGAAATAAGGACAGAATCTCAACTATATGTTATAAATATCACAATATTAAGAATAATAATTTATATTGGACCATGATGTCATTTACTATATCTACTCATGGCAAGTGTGACCAACAGAAAGTAAGGTAGAACTACTATCTACCTGTAGCGAGATTCGTCGATGTTGCACCGCTTATCAACCGTCGAATCTCCAATTCCCTATACAATCAACCACCTGTTTCACGCTCGATACTAGCAAGTATTAGTATTGATGCAGGTGTGGCAGATAGGGTCAACATCCAGTTCTGTGCTTTCTCTTGCCAAGTCATCATTCCATCGGCAATTATTTTCATTCAAACACGAGTCGAGATTAATATTTAACAAATATAACATTTCCAGAATATTATTTACTTCTGCTGATTAGTAATTTTCATTTATGATGTTAATTGCTGTCTTTGATCTCGAGATTAATTATTAATTTCATTACTCGTAAACAATTATTGACACTCTTTATTTTATGTTACAGATGCCGATGCCTTTGGCACCGCATTTTTACAGTCGCCTCCAGAAACGTCATCTGTGACGTCGCCCAGCCGATGTGCCGCTGATAGCGATAGCGATAGCACGTCAACGGAGTTGTGCGACGAGCCGGATCGCCTGAGCGACGTCGATAGCGAGGAGCTTACGTCAGCGTCCGACTCTTACGTCATGGCCACCGATGACGAAAAGCATGCTTGCGTCGAAGGTTCATCGACCTCGGCGAGCACACCTGCGCGTTCGTACATTAAGAGCGAGTCGACGATAATGGTCAAGGAACCACAGACGGATCCGATTCTCGGAAACGAACGCAGCGATAAATCGCCGCCCTTGACTGAAATTTCGATCGCCAAGATCACCGATCAAATACGAAGACTCTCGGCGGAGGATGACAATAACCCGACAGTTCCTCAGATATTAAGCGTGCGCGACAACGACGAGCTATTGTTGACGAGTGATTATTCGATCAAGAGATCGGAGGCGAGGAAAACGGAATCTCAGGATTTTGTCGATTATACGAGCGAGGATGTGACGAATTCATCGTTGAAGACTGTGAATAATTACGATTATTTAAACCTCAAGTCTAATCTCATCGAGGAGAAGACGGATGATAGTCTAATGCACAAAGTGGATCGACTGAAAAATATAGAAGAGAAGGAAGAAATTGTTCAGACTAGCAGTGACACAGGCCTTAAGACGGACACAATGGAATTCTCCGCGAATACATTGCGAGATAATTCAAAAGAACAAACAAGCATCTCTTTGGATAGAAATTACGATAAATTTATCACGTCTTTAGACACTAGCGATAAACCTTTCGAATCCACCTTGAGATTTTCCAGCAGAATTTATCCGGATCCTAAAAGCAATAACGATTCGAATGATTCGGACGATATGGATGTCGCGAGTAGCAGAATTTTAGATGTCCCAACAGAATCTCGATCTTTTTATTCCAAGAGATATATTGTAGGTCATCTTCCAATTTCTCCGATAACAATGGATGACAAGTTGACGAAATTATCACCTGAAATATATAACGTTGCAGTAAACGTGGGAAATCTGACAAATCCGGAAGCGACTTTAAAGAAAGATGATTTTAGTGACAAGCAAGAAATTAAATCGTATTCCGATTTGAAGAAAAATCCGAAATCTCCAGAAAGCACAAAGTCGTTTAGCTCCGGAGAGACAATGGGTCCCGATTCGAAACCCTCGAGTTTGACAGTGAGTCCGAGAACACCAATCAGATCGGATTCTCGTGACTTCACGATAGACAAATCGGCTTGTTCGTCCATCAGCTCAGATTCCAAGACACTCGTTCTTCATTCTGTGGGCTCGGATATCGCGCACGACAACCCGAGACCGATTACGAAGAAAATGTCATACGAGAAATCGAGCCCGTCAACTCCGATCAGTACGGATTCCCTGAGAAACAAGTCCGAGACGAGTCCGAAATTGGTGATCAGCAGCTCCAGCGACTCGTGCAGTCCGAGTAAAATTAAGTCTTCCGAGAGGTCGTTCAGTTCCGATCTGCAATCGCCCGTAAGTGCCAACTCCATAAAGTATACCTCGAATTATGGTAAACGAGGTCAGGATAACGTGTCGGATTCACCAATCGATTTAAGCTCCGCTACCTCGCCGTTTTATCCTATCGCGAATCCTAATCAGAAAACGCCGTCACCGTACGGTGCAGGCAAACGAAGATGTAGCGAAGATAGCGCCGAAACGTCGCCCGATCAAAAATCAATCACCTCGAAGGACTCGGGCAAGTCCTCTGGATATCAAGCGAAATTAGATATCTCGACCAAATCGCTCGAAACTAAAGGAAGCGAAATTTCCGGGAGAATCTCCGAGAGAAACGATCTGTTTGTTAGACCGCAATTCGATCTGAATACAGAGCTGAACGCGAGTTACACGTCGAGGGAAAAGAGCCAAGCTGATTTGACCTCTTACGAATCGATCGACGACGAGTCGCATCGCAAGTGCGGGGATTTCGTTGATGACAATACGGACGATCCGCTCTCTGAAAAGGATATAGTGCCTCAATTGCCGTATGAGAAATTCGACAAGCATTATCTGAATTACAATTACAGACGTAGAGAACGATCGCGATTGACCGAGAGGAGCTCCAGCAGTCTAGAGAGGAGATATACCGATTTGAAATCTTCCATCTCGACGGATGAATTCAACACGACTATGGCGAAGAAGAGATCTAGCGATATCCTAGAAGACATGAAGCACTTGGAAGCAAAGGCTCTTAGCGATGGCTCGTCTGATACTAATCTGCTGACGAAGAAATCGAGTGATATCTGGGAGAATATGAAAAGTTTAGAGGCGAGACGGCAGGACACTTTCAGCAATTCAGCGAGCGGTTTCTCGAAACGGCGACTAGAAATCCCGGATATAAATATAACGAGCGAGGGTAGAAAAGCTTACGTAGTGCATCCTAAAATCAATATCGATGAGAATAGCGACAGTATATTGAAGAGCATAACGTGTAACAAGAATAACAGCGATACGGACGATGGCAGAGAATCGAAAGTCGGTGTATGGACGAAAGTAAAGCCGCGTAAAAAGAGCGATAACGGACGCAGAAGTAGCGACAGAGCGTTGAAAATTATTCAGGAAAACTCGGCAATATTACACAAGATACTCGCTTGCCAGGCGAAGAAACGTCTACCGGATCTGGAGGAGATATCCAAGGAAATCACCATCAGTCCAATAAATGAGGAAATTTCCAAAATATTCAGTCCGATTCTCGAAAAAATGGGATTGAACGAGCACGAGATAAACGAGGAATTAGCTCGGATAAATTTCAAAGACTTCGACAACATGAGCGCCACCAGCGTCTCAGAGTTCGACGCGAAGATCAACGAAGAATTATCGAAGCTTTCCCTTATTGATGAGACGGAACAAATCGATCATCTGGGCGTAGACGAGATCATATCGCACGAATATTTGAACACGCGGGAGGCGTTCATAGATCATAAGATAAACGAGGAACTCTCTAAGCTACTTGCGAACTACGAGGACGAATCTCCCCCGAGCATGATTAATTTGGAGAAAGGCTCCTCAAGCCAGAACATAAGCGAGATGGAGAGCCTCGATCTCACCAGCATTTCGACCAACGTATTTTCTTATAAATCCTCTAACGATTCCATCGAGACCAGGAGCGACTTGGAATTAACGCACGAAGCTGCGATACAGCCGGAAAAATTCCCATTCGCGACGTTGAAATACGAGAAAAGCATGTCGCCCAGGAGCGACATAGACATTTACAGAGAGCTGGAGAAGCTCAACAAGATCTCGAGCGCGCAGATGCTGCCGGAAACGCCTCTGAAAATATCACCGAAACGATTATCTCCTATCGGGTACATTCCCGACACATTGTCTTATCCGGAAGTGTCGCCCGCGACGAGATACATGTCAGATACAAGCCCGTTCGATACTACGCCGCTCAAGAAAACTTACGAACCTTACAAGAGCTTCGACTTCCCGAGCAGGCCATCGCCGCGAGACAATCCTTACATCGCGTACGATAAATCAGATGATTCGTTCGAGTACCTGGAGCCCAAGCCAAGAATCCCCATCGAGTCTTACGATCTGCATCTGAAGAGTCCGATGTTATCCAAGGAAGTTCTGGAGTTTCGCTTGAGATACGATGATGATTCGCCGAAACCGACTGGCGGCGATTACGCGGCCATTCAGGATGACAAGCCGATGTTTTCCTCAAACGTAACGAGTTCTTACTACGGTAAAGGTAATAATAAAGCGCTTACGCCAACGAAATGTATCACCAAGGAGGAAAAGTGTTTGGATATCGGGGATATCGACTATTCTAGCGATAAATCGGATTTTCTCCGTCATAAGTACAGCACCTTATCGCCAAAGGAATATTCTCACATCAGAAACATGGATTACGACAAACCATTAGACACGTTACCGCACGTTGTGGTAGAAACGGAGCCCGATATCGGTTCATACTTGACAACGAGACATCGCGATTACAATATGTTATCGCCCAGTCGTCAATACAGAGATCAATATTTCTCTTCTAGCCCAAACCATTATACCCCGCAATTATCACCAAGTCTGGCAAATGAAGCGAAAAGGCCTGCCTTGCATCCAGAATCCCCGAGTAAAATAAACGTTGGCAAGTATGGAGATTTAACGAGTCAGGGATCGAATTGTTATAAAAAGTCAACGCTGAGCCTCGGTAGCATGGAGGAAAACGCGAATAGGGACGACGAGAACGTTGATACCACTCCGAAGACACATTTCAGTCCATTTCCCGTTAGAAATAATACAAGAAAACCTAAAGAATTGACGCTGAAGTTGGGTCTATATTCGCCGAAGAGCTCCGACTTCGATCAACTGAAAAAATCGTAGTGCTCAGTGACTTGTCGAAGCGATGGAGCTTTCGACCGACGCGAAAGTTCGCACGTGAGCTGGTACGCTCTTACGAAAAGGAATATCTATGTTTGCTAGTCAATCGTGTTTCGATACATTCTTATATACTTTACGCATGCCAGATGCGTTTCAGTGAGTCGCGTATCGATTTTCCGAATTTAACAAAGTGGGCCTAAGAAAATTGTCGCCTAAGTATTCCTAAATTGTAATGCCCGACATTGTTAAACAAATTAAATAACGTAAGCTTGATTAATCGTAACGTAGTTTTAAGGTGATTGAAAAAAAAAATTAAAGTCGTGTAAAATTTTCAGTGCTCGATCGAAATGTATAATTCTGAATTACAGGTAAATTTTTTTTTTCAATGGCACACAAATTTATTTTGAGGAAAATCAGACGTGACGAAAATTAATAATCGGTAATAATATAAAAATTAAAACGCGGAGACTGCGCGCGCGCGCGCGCGTTGTATCATAATCGCGACAAGTGCGAAATAATATCTCCATGAATGCAATTAAATTTGGGAATATTGCTGAAATAATACGTCGTGCGTTATTGACGCGATTACAAAATAGCAAATTCGGATAAAGCAGATTAATGATAAATTCAATCCCCATATTCGGCCGCACGTGTCTCTCGCTTTCGATCCTTTATTCCGTCATTACTGTGCGCTTCACAGACATTCGAATAATCGTATTCATTCAGATTGTTATTTGAAAAAAAGTTCGAAAGAAATACAGATTACAGCATTCGCAACACTCGCATAACGCAATCGTTAAATTTATAATTAAATATCTTCGATTCCCTCCAGTTTTAAACTATGTCAACATTTTCTACGAGAGATGCCTTCCAAATCGATCACGATATTCTCAGAGCTTAAGTTAATGAAGAAAATTAAGAGAATTTTATGAAATGTCTTTCTCATATCTTTTCAATTCTTACTAAACTACTGCTAATTTTTATTGCTACGCAAATGAAGTACAGTATGAATTTTGAAAAAGCGATATACGTACGACATAAATTTATAAGACTTGTCAATATAAAGCTTTGTTCGTATGTTTGGGCAAATTTATCATATGGATCTATATAGCTCTAAGCGAATTATGCACTATAAATTAGATGTAAAGGAGACGGAGAGATTGTATATACATATACATGTATAATTTCAACTATTGATTATATGTTATACAAATGACAAAGTTCTCTCTCTCTCTTTCTTCTCAAAATCTTTTTATAAAAAAAGTATAAAAGTAGTATTTTTAGATGTTTCTAATAAAAAATATTCATATTATTGTGCGCGATATTAAAAATCAGGTTGCTTGAACAAGCTGCAGTTTAAATGTGAAGCTGTTGCTGATTTTAAATCCTTGCTCACAAAAAATGGCTTCAATTCTATATATATATATATATATATATATATATATATATATATATATATAATAAAGCTAATCGCATTAAGGGACTCGCATGGGACAGTTTTCTGTTTTAACGATTTGAACGTTTCTATTTAATTAATTAAATTTAACAGCCTACTCTTGAACATAAAATGCTTTTATAACTTACAGTATGCAAAGAGAGGTCGTTGTAATTCATCCGTTTTCATACAATTTACGCATCAACGCGCCAGGTATTCGTCGCAGCTTACGATTAGCCTATATTAGAATATTTCAATCATCTGTGATAGTTTAGAGAACGATACAAGATGTTAACATATTAACATAAAATATTACAAATTCAATTGTTAAATTAAGTACATTTTTTTTAGTAAACTTTGTCTCTCGCTTTCTTTTTTTTTAAATAATTTAACAAAAATTTATAAATATTTCGCATTCTTTTACATATTAAAAAATTAAAATTCCAATTAAATTCATTTTTAATGACAATTTATATATGAATGCATTAAATTCAAAAATTACTTGAAAAATCATATATAAAAATCTTCAAACTCATTCGTTATTAATTTCTTAAAAATATACCATCTCGTACGAAAGCTCATACATTTTCCATGTGCATTTTATCCAGTAATACCTGTCAATTGCGATATAAGAAAATTATTGATAAAAAAAAAAATGTATGAAGCTGTTGATAAAAAAAACTTCCAGCAAAAATAAAACATAAAATTTGTAAAATTCTTTTGATATTGTATAATTGATTATTTTCATATGTAATAATATTTAATTTAATTTAATTCAACGCGTACTATATAAATTATATGCAATATCTCTTTTCAATGGTCGATATAACAGATATGTTACACCCTTAAACTTAACTGCTAATAAAAATTATAGTATTACTTCGTTTTGGTTATCACGATTGAATTCACGAAATCCGAAAGTAGTTTCAGATGCCTGTGAAATATGGAAAGTATTTGTAAAAGTGCTGGAGAAAAGAAAAGCGACGGCACGTTTAATTTAATACAAAGATAGCTTAAATAAGAGAATAGTTAATAATGCTAAGTAATAAATTAGTGAATAAAATCGCACCATTAACATTATTGCTAATGTAACGAGCTGTCAAAGTCGTCAGTATTCTGCACTCTCATTGCGCATCCGGAATTAGGTTCACTTTGTTAAAAGTTTAACCGGAAATAAAACTGCTCGACAATATGTACACTTAATTCTGTTCACATAATATTATTTAAGCTTCTCGACGTAAAGCGTTTTTCGATATTTACCGAAGCATACGTTGCAACATATACGAATGAGTAGCATTTTTCTACTGGATCGAGATCGATTAGAACTTGCGGCAGATGAATACGCGTAACCCGGATGAAGGTATCGCGTCGATAAAAAAAATGCAAATCCTATATAAGTCTCGTTTAGAAATAAAAGAAGGAAGTATATATTTAAGGATTAAGGGCGCGTGTGTAATATTGTTACATGATGTTTTGAGAAAATTATTGTATATATACAGTGCGAGTCACATGCCAGATATAAGACTATAAATTTGAATTGCGTAGAATGATAAGTCGTTATGGATAAAGAAACTGAATAAATATATTGAGAAAGTGAATAAAGCGCGCGTAAATTATTATTCAACAAAAAGATCTCTGCGACTCTGAGATTATTATAATTAAATTTATAAAATATAAAAAAATATTTATTCTCTAATATCGAACAATATCCCGATAACGAACAATTTTTTAGATTTGCTACTTATATTTGAAATTATTTTAACACTTTGTTAATATTTCAATCAGATATTTTAATGTTTCACGTTCGTGAAATATTTTGATTATCAGATATATTTTCGATCCATGGATAATTTCGCAATATTTTTTCAAATTCAATTTTTTAGATTTTTATATCGATTTTATACACTTTTATATAGATATTAAGCGTGTCAGAAATCGATCGTTTTATTACGAAACCTGAGGAGCGCATCATAAATGCAATAATGATAATCCATATATTGCGAAAAAAAACTTGCTCACACTCTCAAAAAAGGAATAGGGCGGTCCGATTACCGTTCGCAAAACTGCTCGCTCTCTCGGCAACAGCCACGTACTCGTGCTCGAGTGGACATTTCATTTCGCTAACGTGATTACACGCACTCGTGCGTCGAGAATTCGTTTTAATTGGGATTACATTTCAATTAAAACCTCGTTCCCATTAGAGAGAGAGAAAGTCGCATCGAATTTCGAAAAGAGGAAGGGAAGAGAAAAAGACAAATGAAGGAGGGGAAGGGAGCGAATAATTGATACGGACAGCGCGCGTTATCTGAGCGGGAGCGTCGCCGCGGATAAAATATGCATGTTTGCCAATCAAGAGGTGTCCGGGGTTACATGTCCGCCGGCACCCTCGGCAAACACGCGATTACGAAGGCACCGGCGGGCTAAACGGGCAAGCAAACAACGAAAACCTTTGACCCGGGGACCCGTCCAAATAATCGCTGAATTGGAAAGTACTCCTGGTTTCGCGATCCCGCGCGTTGGACGATTAAACAGAGCGATGTGCGTTGATGCGGAACGACACGAAGGGGCGGACTGCCTTCCTCTAACGAGACTACGTACGAGGGTACGTACGCCATAAATTAGGGCGTGAATTATGCAACAACGGCTGTTTTATTAAAAGTTGATAAGCAAATTTTTTTTTGCCGACCGCGAACCGCGAGCGCTCCTGCGGGACGTTTTACATTTTATTAGTACGAGCAAAGTTCGACGTTTACGTGCCATCGTGTTTTACATAACGCCACTCGTGTAGGCCCACGATTTTCCCCTCGGCTTTTCCGGGCAGTGCCAATTTTTGTTGATTTCTCTCAGTTCCCCCGGCAATATTCCCGACGTTCCGGGGAATACGATTTTTTTTTCCGACGTAACATGTTTGCCAATTTGTCCCCGTTCGGCGATATTATCTAACTGAACGATTTATCCACTTGACAAACGGACAATTCGGCAATTTAGCCATTCGCGAGATGCGCCCATTTAACGCGATTCTATCAAAACTCCTATCGGACTGTTTTTAACATCATACCATACTGCGCGTACTGCAATAAATTTACAATCTAGGTTAAAACATCTGATAACGTTTTTCAGGCATTTATATTACACGGCGGCAATTCAAGTAAATATCGTTTTCCTGTCAAAAGAAAATACAATTCTCATTTTTCCAACAATGGATAATAATTTCGCATATATTACGTTTATCAAGCTGGGATATTTCTACGGGGGGGATTAAATTCGGCGTGATCAAAAATCGATTTTCGGGAAGATAAACGGCTCGTGTAATATCAGAAGCTAAAGGAAAATTCACGGAAGATTAATATATCGAAGTGCCGTTGCTACGCAACTTTTGTCAGCCCCCGAGACCTGCAATATCGCCTTTGTGTGACTCGGCACCGTATCTCGAGCTGCCTCACAATGACCGGTGATTTCCGCGAGATGAATGCGCAACGTATCATTAGATTTCGAGAGGCTTCCGTCGAGGGCAAACCGTGCCGAATGGCAGGTAACCTTCGCAAGATGCATTCGCCGAGTGATGCATCTATTCGTAACTCGAGCGCGCGCATATATATGGATACGTACATACGTACGATGGTAATATGTACCTAACCCGTTATGGAAATGAGCTCGGGATGCGCGCGCGCATCCCGGCGACATCCTCTGCATCGGTAATATGCCCTCGCAACCCTCCCGGGTCCGCTCTTTCCCTCCGCGGCTTTCCACCGTGCTTCTTGCCACCCTATTATAGTGACCGACACAGTGCATCTTCGGTGCAGCCAAATCCGGACGCAAGAATCCTATCGCGGAATCGGAGTAGGACGCGGGACATTTCTTGTCCCGCAACTCCATGAGCGGAGGATAACGAGGATTTCAGGTCGTACTGTCGTCCCTGATTTAAGAGCCGGGCTACTCGTGTTTTCCTCCTCATGGCGCGTACACGGTGTAACGTAAAAGTTC